GAAGTAGACTTGTATCCCTGTGAACTTGTCTCATAACTGCCTTTGTTGCATTCCATAGATCTTTTAGATGTTTTCTTTTATTTCAAGTTTTTATTTAAATTCTCGTTAGTTAACATATATGGTAACATTAGCTTATTTGGTGTGTGTGTGTGTGTGTGTGTGTGCGCGCGCACGCGCGCGCGTGTGTGTGTGTGTGTGTGTATTTAGATCACTCCTGATTGTGGGTTGCCCCTCTGGGGGTGGGGTGTTTGGTGAGAGCATGTCTCTGCATCTCCTATCAGTCTTGATGTGGTGCTTTTATCCTTTGTTGTGGAACAGGTGTTCGGCTAGTTCTCAGGTTTTTTCACAGACTATTTTCCACATGTAGCTGTATATTTGTTTTGTCCATTCGAAGAAGTGAGTTCGGGTCTTCCTACCCTGTCATCTTGAATCTCCTCCTTTGAGTTTTCTGTTATTGATAAACCTAACTCTGCCTTCACTTGATATACCATTATAAAATAATTATGAATGTATTAAAACCACCCAAAATCCAAACCTGGGACCCATAACCTACTTAAAGGAAATCTTACACTGGAAAATATTTACTGAGTGTCTCAATATTCTATTCAGTCCATTAGGTGCCTTATATATTTGGGCCTACAGCATATGAGATAGATATTATCTCTATGTTACAAATAAGAACCCTGAGGTTATCCAACTTTATAAGATCACATAGCTAGAATGTGCTACAGTGACCCAAATCTGTTTCCTTAGTCCATTTCCCTTTTACACCGAAGTAAACATTGTTTGTAGGGGAGAATTATGCTAATATTGAATTTTTCGTTGTACTCAGTAGGATTGTGGAAGGCAATTCATTGTGATATGCTTGCTTTACTCCTTTTATAAAGAGTGCCTCAAAAAATTAAATAGTTAATATTTGATAATCTGGGAGCAGATTAATTATACTGAAGTTGTTGTTAAATTATGAATTTAGTTTTTAGAGCAGTTTTAGGTTCACAGAAAAATTGGGAAGATACAGAGATTTCCCATAACCCCCTGAACTCACACATGCATAGCCTCCCTCACTAGCAATATCCCTCACCAGAATGTTACGTTTGTTACAACTGATCAACCTACATGGACAATATCCCTCACCAGAATGTTACGTTTGTTACAACTGATCAACCTACATGGACCCGTCATTATCACATAAAGTCCATGCTTAACACTGGAATTCACTCTGAATGTTATACATTCTGAATGGATTTGGACAAAAGTATAATGACATGTATCCAGTATTATGATATCATACAGAATATTTTCACTGCCCTAAAAATCCTCCTGTTTCATGTATTTATCCCTTCCAAATCCCCTAGTTTTGAAAAAGGAGATACTTGTTCTTTTGTTGTTATTATGTGATTAATCAGTGTTCTTTTAGTATTTTTTATTACCTAAAACTCCTCCTGCAAAAAATGAAAAAGTTATGAAATTGCTGATATCTGTTTTTGACTTACAAAATGGCAGTTTTATATGAGTCACTCTGATGCTAAGGTAAAACCTTGAAGTTTCTATTTATTCCTACTCCTACCCACTCTCACACAATTTGGTGTGTATCATTACAATATCCTTTCTCTGTATGTGTGTATGTACCATAAATAGAATCATACAATATCAGTTCGTTTGCGACTTTGGTTGTTTCTTTAAAAACAGAATTGACTATGTTTTTTTTTTTAATTAAAACATTTAAAATTATTATTGAAGTGTAAAAAATTATTATTGAAGTATAATTGGCATATAATGTTATATTAGCTTCAGGTATACAACTTGATTCTGCAGTTCTATACATTACTCAATGCTCACCCCAATAAATGACTCACCATCTGTGCCTGTACAATATTACACTAGTACTGGCTATATTCCCTATGCTGTACTTTTCATCTCCATGACTTATTTTTTGTTTTAATTTTTTTAATGTTTATTTTTGAGAGAGAGAGACAGAGAGATAGAGCATGAGCAGGGGAGGGGCAGAGAGAGAGGGAGATACAGAATCCAAAACAGGCTCCAGGCTCTGAGCTGTCAGCACAGAGCCTGATGTGAGGCTCAAACTCACAAACCATGAAATCATAACCTGAGCTGAAGTCAGATGTTTAACCAGCTGAGCCACACAGGGACCTCCTCCATGAGTTATTTATTTTATAAGTGGAATTTTGTACCTCTTAATTTCCTTTATCTATTTCATTCCTCCTCCTACCTCTCTCCCTTCTGGCAACCACCAGTTTTTTCTCTATATTTAAGAGTCTGTTTTTCTGTTTGTTTGTTCATTTCTTTTGTTTTTTAGATTTCACGTGTAAGTGAAATCATATGGTATTTGTCTTTGTCTGACTTATCTCACTTAGCATAGTATCCTCTAGGTCCATCCATGTTGTCACAAATGTTAGGATCCCATTCGTTTTTATTGCTAACATTCTGTTGTATATATGTATGTATATGCCACATCTTTATCCACTCATCTATTAATGGACACTAGTGCTGCAATAGACATGGGGGAGCATTTATCTTTTTTTTTTTTTTAATGTTTATTTACTTTTTCAGAGAGAGAAAGAGTGTGAGCAGGTGAGGGGCAGAGAGAGGGAATCCAAAGCAGACTCCAGGCTCTGAGCTGTCAGCACAGAGCCTGAGGCAGGGCTTCAACTCACAAACCACAGGATCATGACCTGAGCCAAAGTCTGTAGCTTAACTGACTGGGCCACCCAGGTGACCCCGGGGGCATTTATCTTCTTAAATTAATGTGTACATTTTCTTTGGGTGAATATCCAGTAGTGGACTTACTGGATCATATGGTAATTGCATTTTTAATTTTTTGAGGAACTCCATATAGTTTTCCACAGTGGTTGCACCAACTTCCATTCCCTCCAGCGGTGCACAAGGGTTCCCTTTTCTCCACGTTCTCTCCAACACTTGTAACTTCCTGTCATTTTTGATACTAGCAGTTCTTACCGGTGTAAGGTGATAATTTATTTTGGTTTTGAGTTACATCTCCCGATGATTGGTGATGTTGAGCATCTTTTCACGTGCCCGTTGGCTACCTTTAGTCTTCTTTTAAAAAAATGTCTATTCAGGTGCTCTGCCCATTTTTTAATCAGGTTGTTTATTTTTTTGGTGTTGAGTTGTGTGAGATTGTAACATATTTTGGATATTAGCGCCTTCTCAGATATATGATTTGCATATATTTTCTACCATTCAGGAGTGTCTCTTTTTATTGATTTCCTTTGCTGCGCAGAAGCTTTTTCATTTGATATAGTCCCATTTGTTTATTTTTGCATTTGTTGCCATTGCTTCTGGAGTCAGATCCAGTCAGGAGCTGCTTTGGAGGGGTGCCTGCAGAGGCAGGTGTGTTGAGTGGGGCACACAGTGCTAACAAGGTAGATGGAGAGTGTAGAGCTGGCTCCCACAAATGTCCTGCTGTCTAGATGGGGGTGGGGGGAGTGAAAGAGAAATGGCACCTGCCAGAACTTTCGCTCCCAGTGAAATCTCCTGTAGATCCCTGTGCCTCTGGTACGTCGATAAATCTTCACGTACACACCAGACAGTTTTCAAACTGCTGCTTCTGTGCTGTGTTTTCAGCGGAATTATTTAGTAAGCTGGCCCTTTAAGAGTAGGGACTACAGTTTTCTATTGCCTTAAGGCTCCCCTGGAGTTAAGCCTGTTAATTATGAAGCTCCTGGAATTAAGCCCTGCTGGTTTTCAGAGGCAGAGATTTTAAGGGAACTTTTCTTACCAGTGTGGGTCCTCATTGCCAGGACTGCCTGGGGGGTGGGGGTCTGATCCTCTTGCATTTCCACGTTTGTGATGTCCAGTCCTATCTGTGATTAGTGCTGCTAGGGGTTTGGTTTCCAATCACATCTCTGCCTTTCTTACCTTTTTGTATATGGCGTTCTCTCTCTGACTAGCTGTGGAAGGCCTGTTCTGCCTGCCTTCAGGCCATTTTCAGTTCTGTAAATGTAGCTCTGATCCTCCTACTCCACCATCTACTCTCCTTCCTACAATGAGGCTCACTGAAGTGATCTTGGTATATTACCAAAAAACTTAAAATTCTGTTACTCATCTACTTATTTTATAGGTGTTTCTGACGCTACTATGATAAATATCAGTCTGCTTAATTATAGCCTCCGAAATCTCACCTTTATTCTTTGTTTTATGTTTATAGAAGACCTTTTAAATATAAACACATTTTCAAGGAAGGTGTGCCAGGGTTGACTTAATATCCATGTGAAAGAGTTGTTTACTCTCCAAATGCAATGACTAGATAGCTGCCTAAGCCTCCCTGCCTCAGATTTTTACAGATGGACTTTTGTTTACCTAAAGAGGAAATACAGAAGTCATTTTCTGCTAGAAAAAGGGAGAAAAACCATATTAAAATAGAAGTATAAAGCCACCTTACAATTTTATAATTTTTTTGTGTTTATTTATTTTTGAGACAGAGACAGAGCATGAACAGGAGAGGGACAGAGAGGGAGACACAGAATCCGGAGCAGGCTCCAGGCTCTGAGCTGTCAGCACAGAGCCCGGCATGGGGCTTGAACTCACGAGCCATGAGATCATGACATGAGCCGAGATCAGATGCTTAAGCGACTGAGCCACCCAGGCGCCCCTACAATTTTAAACATAGTAATTATATTGATACTACCACTGCTACTGTTTTTTCCCATCAGTGTGAATAATGGAGAATATAAAGTGCTTTGTTCTCAATACAACTATGTCCATTTAAACAATAATACTCCATTGAATTATTACATATTTAAATTGAACGGTTCATATTAAAATTTTTTCCCAAGTCTTTTTGTGCAACATTTCAACAAAAAGAGGCAAGTTTCTGTTTGTAAGACCGTATCTAGAGATTCTTAAAGGAGTTCATTCTATTTTAAGATGAATAATATTATCTAGGGTGTGCATATTTGGACTCAGTGATTTGCTGCTTGCATACTATGCAGTGCTAATCTTTTCTTGCCTTTCCTCTTCAGACATGGTCCTTGACCAACAAGTAAGCTCAGGTCAGCTCAATGAAGACATACGTCACAGGGTCCATGAGGCACTGATGAAACAGCATCACCACCAGAATCAGAAAAAACTCACCAACAGAATTCCCATTGTTCGTTCCTTTGCTGATATTGGCAAGAAACAATCAGAACCCAATTCCATGGATAAAAATGGTAAATGTTTCTTTATTGTACTCTTTATGTTTATTATAGGTATCTGAAATTTCAAAGTGTCTCTAAATTCTTTAAAACGTATTTTATTTGAAAACATAGTTTTCAATTATTGTAGAATTATTTCTTTTATGTATGTATAGAGATATATACATATATCTCTATACACATATATATATATATATATATATATATATATATATATATATATATATAGTCTGATTATCAAGCATCAAACTATAGAAATTTTAACAAAGAATTTAAGTTTCCTGAAATGCTCATGAAAGAACGCAAAAGAACTTTTGTCTAATGAGAAGTTACGTACTCAAATGCAGTGAACGTTAAACCAAGCATCAGTTGTATCCCAATCAAAGTCTTAGTCCTTGTTCCACAACTTGAGAACGTAATGCAATGCTTTAAGTTATGGTTGTTTTGGTTAAAATGAAGAATGATCACCAGTTATTGTTTGTGGAAAAAAGATATTGATTTCATGTTGTTCATAGTCGGCAAATTCCATGAGAGATTATGATTGAAAAGACCAGCTGGTGGCTCTGCATATATGAAGCCTGATTTCCAGCTCGTAGGCTCATTGCTGTTTGCTGTGCTATGTCCACACTGTCCATGGAGCCACATGTACTTACTATCCACTCACACCACAGAGATGACACCAACCACTGTTTTTTTTAGCAATCATGCCTTACTCCTAGTAGTTTATGCTTGAAACTGTTTTCTCCTTCTTGTGTGGTTTGTTCTCTTCTTGCATCTATTTGAAACCTTCATCATTTGCACTAAGGAAGTAGCTTAGGAATCTCTTGTTGCATCCATCCTGGACATTAGTCTTGTGAAGGAAAATAAAGTTATCATGAGGATGATACAAATTTGTTAAATTTTCATCAGCTATAAAAGTTTCCAGCTTTAAAAGATAAAAAATTAATGAAAAGTAATTTCAAATGCTTTACTAGACAGACTGATTGCTACAAATGCACTAAAGCATGTATATTACTGCATGGACTATTTTATGTCATTTCACTTCTACTTTCAAAAGCGTTAGTGATGCCTTAAATACAAATGCATGAGAATGAGTTCTCTCCACATTTTGCTTTAAATAGGATTTTTAAACCAATTTTCCTACTACTGAATCAAACATATACTTATAAAAAATGCTATAATAAATCACTGAAGATGGTTAGATGTACTGTTGTTTCAGAGCATAGAACCAGTTCTTAATGGCAAAATGATTTTTGAAATACTTATTTGCTTTTTAAAAGACGCTTCAATAACAATGTAGGTCATTGTCATTATAGAGCAGTCTGTAGTTGTGCATATACAGGTATCCCCTGCTTTCTAAAAGTTCCCATTATGCCACTTGACTTTTATGAAAGACTTACATTAGTGCCTGTTTTTCACTAACCAAGAGAAATCCAAAAAGGATTTTGTTTTTATGAAAAAAGCTATTACTGTACTAATGTAGGTCTTAAAAGTGAAGTGGCATAAGGCAAACTACCGCAAAGTGGGGGATGCTCTTCATGCATTTTAGCTTATAAAAGGTTTCATAGGAACACTTTACTTTTGCATAGTGATGGAAACCTGTAAAAAGTTCAGTAAAGCTCTTTATGACATATACCAGCTTGTATTTGTAGATTTCACTGGGCATTTTGAGAATTTATAACTTACTTTGAATCATAGCGCATATTTAAAATATATTCATATTCTAAATCATAATTTGCTTTAAAATATGTTATACATAAAAATGACGAAATGAAGCTTTTATATTCTGAGGCAATCTAAATGTAGTACTTTTATTATGCTTATAATACTAGTACTTATTTCGGTGTGATGATATAAAAAAAACAGACTCAGATATTTACTAATTTTCACATTGGGCTTATATCTACATGATTCTAAAGATCTTATTAAAATATTTCTGTGAACTAATTCTCTACCAATATAAGCACATTTTAAAAATTCTGCCTTCATTTCATTACTTTTAATAGAAATCATACCATAAAACCTATGTCTATAAGAAGGACATGTGCTTATTTAAAAATTCAAGGCTTGTGGGCTGTGAACTAGCCATAATTTATATTTGAAATTTTCCTGGGGATAATGTTTACTATAAAATAATTTTATTGCATTTGTTCTTGGAGGGAAGAAGGTAATGAATTTACTGGATGATTAATTTATTGTAATATCATGTAGACTAGACACACTCCTTGTTACTGCTTTAAACTATAATTCTCTATAATTCTATAATCTATCTATAGACATATCTATATATATCTATAGATCTATCTACCTAGATAGATAGATTTGGAAGGATGGGATATGATATAGATAGATAGATCTATAGATATATATAGATATATAGAATTCTGTAATAGTTCTACAATGATAGAATTATAATCAAGAATTATAGCCTTGAATCACAAGTCCAAGTATAGACACAAAGGAATACAAAGTTTTCTGAAAGCCTACTTTTTGCCTTACTGAGGCAAATGCTTAGTTTTTCTGAAAACTAAAATATGAGTAGTTCTGAAGTGATTCTGTCACTGTCTGTATAATCAGCCTTTATCTAAAACACATAGAGATCTCTCTGAGGCACACATTAGGGTAATAAAAACTTAGAAACATTTCTTTTTTTTTTTTTTGAAACATTTCTAATAAGATTCATATACCCAATTAAGTATTGTTGTAAAGTATGCTGTCAGAAATGGTTTTCTAAGCCTGGGCTTATAACACCTCCTTGTGACTCTGTTTTGCTTCTTCATACACTTTGCATAATTATGTGTGTTGAGAATTCTGAAAATATGTATAGACTTCACCAATTTAGAAATAAATCTCCTATCCAGAAGTGAAAAAAAGTGTGAAAGACCTTTATTACTAAGGTTCTCAATCTACTTAGGAACTCTAAAAACTGACAAATTCTAGATAAACAAATCGAAATTCATAGCCATAAATATAGATTTGACATTATTTCAACATATGCAAAAGGGATTTATTTTTTTGTGCAGTAGTACAGAGAGATGCAAAATGATTTCAAGAAATCCAAAAGGGTGAAAATAATATTCTTATTATTAAGAAAAAAAATCTCTTCAGCAGGGAATTGCTTGTAAAAAGATTGACTTTTTTCTTTTTAAGATTATAGAATAGGAAGTAAATGGAAAGCGGGTTTTATAGAAACTTGAAAACTAACGTTTTCCTTCGCCATCATAGGGATAGAAATAAGCCCCCTCTTATTTAATATACTTTCACTTTTGAGGCAAAACAGTTGAAATTCCCTCAAAAATGAGCTGATATTTATGTAAAGAAGTCTAAACGAGTCATATTAGATAAGGTTTCTGCTGCCTTAATTGACTTTTCCTTGAGCATATTACCTTGGTAGTAATCCCAAGGGTTAATTAAATTCAGTATTTCAGTCTGAGTTTCATGTGTGGATCTTCCCCATGTCATAGATTTAATTTGCAAGATAGTGATTTCCCAGCTCCTCTCTTCCCCAAGTCTGCACTATTTTGTTCATAACTTTTTTTTAGAGATTTGTGATAATTTGTCGGTCTCACCTCTAAATATGTTAGCTTTACTTCTTTGTGTAATTTTTTTCTTGGTGTTTTGCACATTCTCTTAAGGGCCAAGATACAGGATGCTATGGATCCACCATGCATTTTAATGCCACCATGCTGTGTTTAACTTTCACTTTTCATTAAGCATCAAAACTGTGAGAATTAAATGTCTGATTCTGATGTTTCAATAAAAAGTGACAGTTACATTTGGCAAAACAACAGCAAAAAATAATAGAAAAATAATATCTTCTTTAACATTAAAACCCTGAAAAAGATATGGGTAGAAAGTACTCAGAGTAAATATATCAAGAATACTCAAAGAATTCCTTGAAACCAGAAGGACTTTCTAAAAATAAAAATAAGACTTTTGTATTAAATGATCTGCAAAGTAAAAATATCAGGATATATATTTTATCATTTAGGTCATGCATTTGGTTACATTTTGAGACATTTGGATTACAAATTTAATATCAAGTATTATTACCCTACTGATAACATTTACATTTTTAAAAATAATTTGAGACTCTTAGTTTGCTCAGGTGTAGGCTTTTCTCATTCCACTGTGTTTACTAATAATCTATTTCTTTTCCTTAATATATCTTTTCTCCCCCCCCCCCATTATGAATACTTTCCAGTTGTATCTTTTATTTAGGATCTCAAAAGGAGTTACAGAGCAGAGGGTCTCTGACTTACTTTCAAAACCATAAATGACTGGAGAACATTTAGATTGGGAAGGATGGGATATGAGTTGATTCTTTAGGCCTGCATAGATTCCAGCTCTTAAAATAATGTACACATGTGTATTGTGAATGATTTTTATTTATGGCTTTTGGAAACCAGTTTTATTGCATTATAATCTCTTCTTTTTCCAAATGCTGTGCTTTTTATTTTCATACGTATAATGCTATTATGTGTTTAGATATTTATATGCTTTCATGTTTTTTAAATACTGTGGTCTCATAAGTAAGATACCAAAAATTTTAAAATTATATCTCATAACGTTCTATCTTTGAAGAAAAAAAAACTAGACCTATAATTCTTACAGTTGATCTTAGCCAAAAGACTAAGAAGCGATAGACTTATAATTCTTAGAATTACTTGAGAGAAAACATGTTGAAGATTTATGTAGGTGACAGAAGTAAACATTGTATAATAAAGATATTTTCCATTGTTCCAAAAAAAAATCAAGGTGACTGGACACAGTGATGGTTCTGTTAAGAGGCTATATTGCTACTGAGTTTTGAAATATCGAGAGTTGATATTAACAGCAAAAATATATCTAATATGATGTGTTTAAATTTGTTCTTTCTTATGTTAATTATTTTCAGGCATACTAATATTTCTCGAAGTTTAATTATGTGCATACTTTTTATGTTTTTGAAATGTAGCTCACCTAATCAACATTTTCTAAATATTTAGCCTTTCTTTCTTCATGTTTTCTATTCCCATGAATAAATGTATTGTTACACATGTATGTAACTTTGTCATTCATCTTTATATTTCTTTATTTTGCTCTGTCTTGTGTCTGTCTCTAACAGGCTCATCTCATCTCTGTACCTTCCTCATCTCCTACCCCTTGGGTACTCTAAATGCGTTGAAGGTTTCTGAGGTAGTGTAAATCAGCTTGGTCTCTAGGTTAATAGTAACGTACCTTTATGTCTTCATCCCAGTTTCCTTCAATACACATGAGTTTCAGTGGATTAAGCAGTAGCAGATAATGGTATACTTGAGCAATGTATTATTCTCCTCTTGATTTGAATTTGGCCACATAGAAATGTAAAAGTTGCTGTTTGACAATACTTACCTACATAATTTATTTAAAGAAGAAGAAAACTATAGGTAAGGGATTAACTGAGTTAATATAATGCTTAACAGATAATTTGAGAATGTATTTTACAGTCGTGTTTCCATAATGAGATAGTTTAATGACAGTGACATCACTTGAAGTTTAAAAAAAATGGTACTTTTGATATAATCTCATGTTCCTTCCTCACAACTTTATGAAGAGGGAAATGACTATGCCAGTCTCACAATGGACTTAATGAAAAATTTATGAAGTAACAAGTAGAAAGGCAGAGCTTTCATTTTCTAATTAGTTACTTGAGTTACTCTCAGTTTTCTCCTAAGCTTGTCCCACATCTTTTACACTTTACCTTGGAAAAATTCATGGTCTATAACCACTTGTTATCTGGCTGATATATGCTCCCTCATGGAAGCCCAGAGGAAAAAATGAATTCATGACTCAAAGGAAAATTAATTCAAGCAGTTGCTAAAATGAGTACTACGTACTATGCACTTTAATTAATAAGATGTATGACAAATATTAAAATTTTGGATTTAAGTGGTGAACTAGTTGAGTTTAAAAGCCTAGAAAAATATACATATGTAGGATGAAGTTAGGTGTCTGAAATGTTTACGTTGAAATAGTCATGACCATTTCCTAGTTAATACTAATGGTGTCCACTTTTCATTAGTTTTTGGATAATTTACTCTAAATATAATTAGGTTATGAGTCAATAAATGTCTCCTTTTTTTGGATAGTCATCTTCATGCCTCAAAACTATTGACGTAATTATAATAACAGATGTGATTAAATATGGCAATGACATTTATTTATAGGATACATTAATGTGGATAGTGGTCAATGGGCAAAATGAAGGTAATATTAAGAAATAGACAAAAACGTGTATGTTTGCAAGCATTGTGACATTGTGATTAAAAAAAGTATCATAAAAAAACAGCATTCATAAAGCTTCCACACACATATGTGAGTGCTAATCCTAACTTTATACGATTTTTTCCTGGCGGCGAAAATATCCTAGCAAATTCTTTGTTATTTTTTTAGAAAACATTTTCACTTTTGGTTGAAGGTACAGTCCTCTACCTGAAAATTGTCATTCTGTGAATTACTATTGTTTGAAACATCACAGAGAAAATAAGGAATGCCCTTTCAAAACCTCTGATTTTTCTTATATAACAGTATTTAAGTTAATAAAAGTTGTCTTGAAATCCAAGCCCTCCCCCTTCTTCTGAAAGTCAATAATTGTTGGAATAAAGTAAAGAGATCATTGTTTACAAAGATAAAGACTATAGTTATAGAATTTATTTTGATTTATGGAATTTTTGGTCATCCAATAGGCTATGATTCATAATTTGTTTTATATATATATATATATATTGGGGAATATAGATGGATTTAGATATAGAACAATATTTTAAGCCCCTTAAAGGCTTCTCTCTTTTCAAAATAACCCAAACTAAACTTGTCATTTTAATTTTTAAATAATAATATCTATATACTTTTTTTGCATCCTGCCAAGTTTTCAGATACTGCCTTGAAGATAAACATATTTAATGTCTATTGTTTCAGTTTAATAAATTAACATACATATTAAGAAAAAAAATTTGGAGTTCTCTTTAAACTTTGCAGGACCGATGATGTGATTAAATATATTCATTACTGATATTTACTACTATTATTTAACTATTACCTCTGAAATGTAAAATATATCAAATTTGTGGTTTATATTTCTATATCATAGGCCAGTAGTTTCTATGCCTTTTTCCTGTGTCAGCATACATTCTGTATACATCTGTAGAATCTAGAACTTGCAAGAAATTTCCTGTCATCATCTACTCTGTCTCCTGCTAATTAAAACTGTCCACTAGGTCATTATCCATATCACTTCAAATAGTCATAGAAATAGAACTCGAATCTCTTCCTGATTACCACCTTTATGAGATAATATTTTGTAAAATTTTCATCACCTTAGAACAAGAATAGCATAGAGAACAATGAATCTCAAAATGTTAATATTTATAAGAGGAAATACTAGTGCCCGTGTTTAAAAGATATCACATGAGCTGGAGTTAATTTATAAAATATTCTGCTTTTAAAGTATATATGTGAAAACATAGGCTATCCAGTTTATTCAGATATTAAGTTACAGCGCACTGTCTATCCCATAAAATCTCTTTGAAGTTGGTGACTTCGCATTGGGTTGACCCTCTTTTTGCATGTATTTACTGATCGAATTAAATAATTGTCCCTCCATGTAGTTTTAAACCACATGAAATAAATTATTATAAGAAAGCTGATATATGTTTATTTAATTTTTCCATGCCTTGAATGTCACCACTCAATTTTATACAACATTCAGTAAATTTAGGTTTAAATACATCTAATGTTCTAATTCATGAAAATATGGAGAAATGATGTGAAACTGGTGATTGAAGACATCTGTTAGCACAAATGCATTATGTAAAAGGTTTTTTTTTTAAGATTACGGTTATTATTTTGAGAATGATAAATGAAATGGCTGCTAATGAAAAGTTCACAGTTGTAGCTGCACAGTGCAGTTAGAAATGGGAGAATGAAAATAACTGATGCAGCTTAAGTCTGTTGTTTCTCTGAAGTTCCTATTTTTCTTGGAATATGATATAATCAGAATGTGCACACATAGTTTGAGGTAAATTCACTTGAAAATTCATTTTTAAAATCTTCACCATATTATTTTACTTTGTTTAGCGAAAGCAGAGAAATATTTAAGTTTTGGAAGAACCTTAAGTCCATTACTTTCTGGCAATAAAACAATTTTAAAATAAAAAAAAAATTGTACCTATTAATAAATGACCACTGCCTGAGAGCCTTAACAGTTCCCAAAACAAAATTATAGTAATATTTGAAAGTAAATTATTAGTATTTTAAGTCACACTTGGTAATTTCTAGGTAACGAGGAGTAAGTGGGATTTCAGAAGAGAGTTTAAAGAAAAGGTCCTATTTGTATATATACTAGGAGTTTAGAGAAGTCCAGATAAGCACAGACTCTAGTAACTAGAAAAGATGAGAGTAAAGGTGAACTTTGAATAAAATTGGGATTTAGGTAGATACAGAGAAGAGGCGGGCAGAGAGGAGAGAGTACTCCTAAGACTGAGGAGAATAAGAGCAGTAATTTGGAGTCATGAGTTATGGTCATAAATATGGTCAAGGCTTCAAAGCTGGTTCGTCATTACTGATTTCCCAGCAAAAGTAACAAGTGAGGATAGGGAGAGATTTTGGAAGAAGAAGAAAGACACAAGTGAAATTAAGCAGAGTTAGTTAATTTTTATCATTTAATTGCAGGGTTTGGGCAGATTTCAGATAAGTTGTGATTGAAAAAAGATGTTTCATATTTAGTGAACTGGAATTTAAATACACATTGTCATATCCCCTCCTCTACTGTCCATTTATTTAACTAATGTCATAATCTTCCTAATGGGAAAAAGACTACAAAGTAATGAGGTTGCTGGTTGGTGTTAATGGAAGACTAATGCAATTCAAGGTTATTGATCTTTTCCCATGCAGACCAATATCAGTACGCTTATATAATTGTGTAGTAACAAGGATAAAATCATATTCAAAGTGTTAGTACTGAGTAAGGGAAGGGTATTTCTAATTAGACCTCTCATAAAGAAATCTCTAAGTGTTATTGTCAAAGAATTTTTTCTCGTTTTTTTCAGATGCACCAGAAGTCATCAATAAGTTGTGTACTTTTCAGATATTTCCTTTAAAAAAAAAAACTTTACATTTAAAATTCTTCAGGTTGAGCTTAAGTCGTAATAGATATCTATCCTTTCATGAATATATGTCATCTATACCTGTCATTAGTTTTGGATGAAATTTAGAAATCAGTGATGTTTCCAAACCAGGATTAGATTTAAATATTTTGTAGCTGATTTTCTTTATAGAGAATAACTTTTAGTTATTGAGTTTTAATCTAAGGATTGGCTTTCTTTTTCTTGACTGAATTCTCCCATTTCTATCTGTAACTAATAAATAAGAGTTTTGTATTGATATAGATCTATTTATATTGACCTTTCATGCTTACCTCATAAACTCATTAAGAAACCTCTGTTAGCCTAGATTAATTCATTTTTCACTCAATCTGTCTAGAATTCTGTAAGTAATTGTTTGTATTCTGTAATAACAATTTCTTTTAGCAGGTCAGGTTGTTTCTCCTCAGTCTGCTCCAGCCTGTGTTGAAAATAAAAATGATGTGAGCAGAGAAAACAGCACTGTTGACTTTAGCAAGGTAAGCTTTTCTCTCTCTCATTTAAGTAAGCTGCTGAATTATTACTAGACATTACTACCCATTTTAAGAGGTGTTGACACAACTTTTTGCATGCGCTGTTTTGGTTTCTTAGCCAAAGCTTGATCCTGTAATAGATGATGTTAGCATTTAAGTTCACATGTAACATTTTGCTTATTCACAAAACCAAATGTGTAAGTTTTATGTACCATCTTCAGGTTTCAGCCACTTGGTATAATGTATCTCCTGTAGAAAGAGAGATGACTTCACAGACAATATCACAGAAGTTTATTGATGAAAAGGTTTGCTGGTTATTTTTTTTCAAAATCATTTTTCCTCTGTGGAAAAACAAATCATATGAAGATTCATCATGGTAATGTAGCAAGGCATTAGTGTAGGGAAACACTAGAATATAATAAGGCAACAGAATTTTGAATAAAACATGATAAAAACTGACTCTGTTGGGGGATACATCTAAGTAGAGACAATTCAAATGAAATCATTTACCTGAACGTATTCTAAGAAAATAGAATACATGTGATTTTGGTCAGCAAATTCTTGACATTGTATATGTGCTATTGTAGGTTATGGCAAACTAACGCTTGAACAGGAAAGAGGAGTTTCCCTGTTAACGAAAACTAAAGAGAGTCAACAATCCTCTTTATCTGAGTGGCTGAAACAGTCCTAACCCAGAGTGATTTCTTTTCCCCCTAAAATGCTTAGCACTGGCAATCACTTTAACAGTGGGAGGAGGTGGGAAAGGGAGGCAGAGCAGAGGAAGTTGCCTGCATCAAGCTTCTGAAGATTAATGGCCATCAGCTCCTTGTTGCTGTTTCAGAATGCCTCTGCCAATGCCCAAGTGGCCTAGGTCTAGTCATGTGCATGTTCTCCCTCTGGTGCCTGGCGAAGTCTCCGTGGGAGCATGGTGTACCAGCTTAAGTCTGTTAATTATGCGTGCAGGGACTGGGAGGCCAACAAAAGGGGCATACTAGTCCCTGTGGGATGAAACAAAGGCATGAAAAAGGACCTCCACACCAGCAAGAGAGAGAGGTGAGGGCACACTCGGGCTATGTTTCTCCAGTGGTTCAAAGCTCATTTCACCGTATGGAGGCATGTGATTCAAATATTAAGCCAGTTCAAATGTATTCCATTTGCCGCTCCAAAAAACACATCTTTTTAAAGCATCACATCTTCATTCATCTGCAAGTTGGAACAAAATTGTCAGAAACTGCCATATATTTAATTTCTGAAATTCTTCATTTGAAACAATATCTTAAAAGCAGTGACATAAAAAGTTGCTTACCTATTTATGCAGGCATTAACAGTATAACAAGGGCATATTTAACATTCTCAAAAACAAGGATAATAATTCACATCCCTTCAAATAAACTACCTTTTAACTTGTTTAAAGGATATAACCCCTTGACACTGAATTTTATATCTCCATATCATTTTGCTTTTAGTTCTCTGACCTATCTTTGCAGCCTTCACCAATGCTTTATCACATTTGAAAGCAAATGAATACTGCCCGTTGGAGACGGTAGTCTTATGTTCAGGTCCCCCAAAACAATTAGAACTACAGAAGAGAGAAAAGATATACATTCTTTCCTTTAACCCTTTTCTTCCTTATTACATTTCCAATTGCTGGTCCATTTCATCTTTTAACAGGCAAGTGAAATTTTTATAGCCCTCTACTCAGTGCCAACCATCTATATTCCTCAGTGTTTCATGCATATCATGGAGCACTGGAAAGAACGTGGCTTTTGAGGAAGAGAATCAGTTCATGAATTCTAACTCCAGCGTTTATAAGCGATCTGATCTTGGAGAAGTTCTCTGAACTTCAGCTTCCTTATTTGTAAAATAAGAATAACAATACCTATTTATAATTTTGTTGTAAAGATTAAATGAGAATATATACACAGAGCCTGGCAGAGTGCTCAGCATATAGTAGATGTTCAGTAAAATGTGGCTGCTGTAGTAGTTGTTGTTGTTGTTGTTAATATTAGTGGAAATAGTAGTATCAAAAATAAATACTAGACCAGAATATAATATATTTTGGTCTTCTCTGGATGTCTCATGCCTTGAACAGTGCTTGAGATGTATTTGTTGAATAAATCCTATGAGATTTAATAGAATTTAAGCCTTTAGTTCTGGAACTTTTTTCCAAGTAATACTTTTTACCTTATAAACTGGGAGGGCGGAGTAATAGGGTTGGGGAAAATCACATGTGATCCATCATTATGGAAATAAATTTTCATGCCAGATTTTATAGGTACATGAGGTAAAGTTTTTTTTGTTTTTGTTTTGTTTTGTTTGTTGTTATTTTTAGCTCTAATGACTTCACTTTGATAGTGAATTTGCTCAAAGCTCGGCTAGTCTCCAGGTTACTGTGTCTATGTAAAGATTTAAGCTTTAATGTTTAGATTCCAAAACCCATTAGAATTTTGAGATGTTAAGGACATGTGACTTGATCCTATATCTTTGGTATATTCCATCTACATTAAAAAATTTTTTTTTAATGTTTATTTTTGAGAGAGAAAGAGACAGAGCGTGAGCAGGGGAGGGCCAGAGAGAGAGGGAGACACAGAATCTGAAGCAGGCTCCAGGCTCTGAGCTGTCAGCACAGAGCCTGACACGGGGCTCGAACTCATGAACTGCAAGATCATGACCTGAACCGAAGTCAGACGCTTAACCAACTAAGCCATTCAAGTGCCCTCAATCTACATATTTTTAACCCTTCCAATGGATAAGCTCACTAAATTCATTAACTTAAGGAATGTTTTTGAACATAATCTGAGTTATCAGGTTTTTGCTTCCCACAATGCTTTTAAAAAGCAGATGTGTGAAAACACTCCATATCTCTTTGTTTTTTAAACTGACATGGAGATGACTATTTTAGTGTTTCTCAGATGTTGGTAATGTTTCTTTTATTTCAAAAGATCCAAAGAGGACTTCATATTATTTTCTATGTAGAGAGAACTTTCCTCTGCATCTGTCTTTAGTATGTGAAACGTACTACAGTGAGTTGGATTATTAAATCCCTGAACAGTAGAAAACCTTGGAAATCTTCTCATTTAGAAAGTGAGAAAGCTGAATCCCAGAGAGAGTAAGAGAGCTGCTCAAGATCACTGGCTGGTTAGTGTCACAACACCATTTCTCCCCCAGAGAATCCCTATTAATTTTCTTGTGCTTTCTATAATGGCCTTAAGACTTAAGCTTTCTCCCTGAAGTCCCATCAGCATTTCCTTCCCGTCTCAGCATGTGGCTTGTCCAGACACTTCTTGTTTCACCATGATCTTCTGTCTAACCTTGTTCCCTAGAGATGTACCTGTTTCTCACCCACGGCTTAAGTACAAAATGCCCAGCATAAAGCATCTTTCCCTTCTCAGCATAAAGGTCTGGAGAGCCCAGAAGCCTGAGTGTACATCCATATTCATAAGAGTATAGCTTGATTTCTTCAAGGTCCTGTTCAGAGAACAAGAAAATCTCAGGGTTTCTTTATGCTCATTCCAAGTGTTTGAGTCCACTTGAGGATTGTCTTGGAGACAATTGTTATATTAAAAGGTTTGATTGTCAGATAAGGTTCTTATGAACAGTATATTAGCACAAATACAAAAATATAGGGCTAATCCAGGAACAATATAATATGTAATTGTATAATGCAATAATATAATTAGATGATGTGTTATATAATCTCTTACCCCCAAATATATGACTACTCCAAGAATAATAGAATGTAATGAGTATAATATAATGGCTACTCCAGATAAGCTATAAGTTATTACATTTCAAAGCAAAAGATAAATTTGCTAAACCTCAAATTCTGTGTATTTTAATGTTTTTTCTAAACAACAGACATAAATCAAGATATATTAGGTATTATGTAATACAAAAATAATTCAAATGCTAGGACCGTATATTTCCTTTTATAAATTTGACTATTTTTAGCACACTATGTACTCATTAATTAATTAAATTGCATCTTAAGGCATTTATTTGTATGATTGCCACCAGTCTGAGGCACAGACTTCACTAGTGAAGCCTATGACATTTGCCAAACAATAAATAAACTTATAGAAAGTTTTGGGTGGAATTTAAATTTCTCAGTAAAGTTATGATGGCTATTACCAATATAATTCCTATTTATCATTTGTAGATTTTCTTTTTTTTTTAATTAATTTATTTATTTTTTTAAATTTTTTTTTTCAACATTTTTTTATTTATTTTTGGGACAGAGAGACACAGAGCATGAACGGGGGAGGGTCATAGAGAGGGAGACACAGAATCGGAAGCAGGCTCCAGGCTCCGAGCCATCAGCCCAGAGCCTGACGCGGGGCTCGAACTCACAGACCGCGAGATCGTGACCTGGCTGAAGTCGGACGCTTAACCGACTGCACCACCCAGGCGCCCCTCATTTGTAGATTTTCTTAAAGCGCTTTTTTCTTAGTTTAAATTTTGTTCCAGTGTATTAACATTGTGTAATTGTTATTTCCATTGGGAGAAAAAAAACTTTGTTGTTTGTTAGGCTCGAAGATGAAAATATACTATGTTTTTCTCACAGGGCTAATAGTGTATCTTTTATTCCCTTCTTGAAAATGTATGCATTATCATAAAATTGTAAAGCATTACCAATTTAAAGCATTTTCAAAGTGTGCATTTCTTCTAGCTTGAAAAATAAATACAAAAATATGATAAAAATTTCCATGAAATTTAACCTTCCAGTATTAAGATAAATAAATACTTTGTATCTATAAATTAAGGATTCTATAAAAGGAAAATATTTACCATATGATATCCCAATGTATATGTTTTATGAGTTTACAGATTTATATTTGGAAGTATATTTGTAGTTTGAAAATTTTGCAATTTATAATACTTGTCATAATTTTTTATAGGCAGTTTTGGTTTGTTAAATCATTTTTCTTTTTCTTTAAAATAGAACATTGGTTCTGTTTACTATTTTTAGTGGAGTACTGAAGATTATTTTTATGTCTAATCCTTGTGATAAAATGTATATGTCACATAATAGTATTTATGTTTTATGACACTCATATCTTACAGAAAAATTAAGTAGTTATAATCCTTCCAAATAGCTATGCTGAGGTCTTGATTTCTGAAAGCAACATATTAAATGTCGTCACTACAGTCTGATGGTGGACTTCCTAAGGTCCTCATCCAAAAGTTTTAATTTTTTTCATTGTAAACTTCTCAGAAAAAATCTTTTCAAATCATTAAATTTGCAAAAGAAAAAAATCCAAGCCTCACCTATATTTACTGAAGCTCTTTTCTCTCTTCGCACCTATTCCGACTTTGATCTTGGGCCCCCATTTCATTCACATGAGAGCATAAACCAGTTACTATAGCAGATATACTCTTACTCTCCCTACAAAAAGGTATCTATAAAAAGCAACTCAAATGAATTAGAAACAAGAAATAGGCCTTGTGAAATTGACTTTAAAGTCATTGCTTAGTTTTCACTGAGGCCCTGACCATTAAAAATTGATATTTACTTTTGACAGTGTTTTACAATCATTTTTCAGACTTCGCCTTTTAAGCATTTTTTTCTTGTAAATGATCGCTTTTGTTTTGTGTTCATTCATTTCAACCACAGACATCTCATATCAGAAATTCAACTCTGCCCGTTCAGCAACGTCAAATGTTAATACATTTATTGTTTTCTTTACTTTGCTATATTTAAATTCTAATGTCTGATGAGAAATGAAAATTGAAGAGTGGTCAGGCCAAGTATAGAATGTGAAGGATATAGAAAAACTAGAAGAAAGATAGACTAAAATCATAATTTATACTGTAAAGAGAAACATGAGTATATTTCTTTTGAAATAGGCATATTTTGAGTATTAGTTGAAATATTTTGTCACAAAATTAAGATAATGTAATATAAAAATATTTAAGCCTATTGGCAAATACTAATTAAATGATGATTAAAATATATTCATCTAATTGAGCACACATGCTTTTCTCCCTGAAAATTTCAAGATTGCTGATGCTGAAGAAGCTTCTTTTAAAAACATTGAATAGAGAAAGTAGAGTATTCACCTTCTATATGAGAACTTCGAAAAACACACAAGAAGAAAGTTATTATTTTTAAAGGGCAAATGAGATGTTTAACTATGTTAAAACTTGATTTACATATTATTTATATAAGTTATATTTATTTCACCTATGTTTATTGATGGGTTACCACTTGTGAAGCACTGTGCTGGGATATGACTTAGCAAATTTTGGTTTATCTTATTTTACTTTGTGATGCTCTCAGGTTGATCTGCATTTTATGAAAAAGATTCCTCCAGGTGCTGAAGCTTCAAACATCTTAGTTGGGGAATTGGAATTCTTGGATCGAACTGTGGTTGCGTTTGTGAGGTTGTCTCCTGCTGTATTGCTTCAAGGCCTGGCTGAAGTCCCAATTCCAACCAGGTAAAAAGTATAAGAGCATCTTTTGCATTTTTCTAAAACCATTTTTTTTTTTTTTGGTAAAAGAAATTGTCCAAAACCAAAACAAGAAAACAAAGAGTAAATAAGTATAATTTCCTCTGAAAGTTCTCCTAGAAACAAATGTGAAATGCACAAAATTGTTCCTTCTTGTTTGTGGAAGAGGAGAAAAATACTTTAAAAATTATTCTGTTCTTTCCTCCTTTCTCTCAAACTCCGATGTTTTCTGTTAGGCATGCTCCTCATCTCTGAATACCCTGGTCAATATCACCATACAAATCCTTTCTTATAATGTTGATAAAAAGGGTAAAGTGTTGGGCTGTCCTCAAGGATTGCAATGTGGCTAAAAATTGATTGTGGGCTGAAGAGAGGATCCTGTATATGAGTGTGGTCAGACTCAGAAAAGTAAAAGTTTCATAGCTTATGCTTTAATTAGTATGCCTTCCAAATGCATGCAAGTGCCATCATTAAGAGAGGCCTTGCTCTATCTAATGTAGTGTGTATTTCCATCCCAGGCATATATGTGTTTCCCATGCAGAGTCTGAAGAATTATTGGTAGTAGCATCATGGTACTGTTGTTGAAGTCAAATCAAAAGTGCAAATTTAATTTGATTACCTAAACATATTTTTTCATTCAACTATACATAGAAACTAACAACTTAAGGATAATACGAACTGAATTACATTGTTTATAGTTTATCTCTATTTTATAAATAAAATATATGTCCATGGGCAAAACTGTGGAGAAAAGAAAAGAACATTAACTTCAGCATGTTAGGTTCCTAGCGATTCATTCAGTGGACCTTGTTTTCTTCCCTTTCCCTCCCATTAAATGTGATTCCTGTATACAGACAGCTATTTACTCCATCTGCATTCATATAGCAAAACATACTTAAGGAGGGCCCCTTTCCCCCATGATTGGTGCCCTCTGATTGATGCAACTGTTCCAGATGCTTTAGTATCCTTCCACTTCCAAACACTGAATGCCTCAGCCAATTTAAAAATGATGAAAAGTTCAGGTTCTTGGTTTGTAAAATACGTTTCCTCCATGGATCTTTGGCCTTAACTAAAAACATAGCATATTATATCACTCTGTGCTTTGCTGGTGGATAAAATATTCCAAAAATGTGGACTAGTTTAGCCAGGAGAGGCCTCATTCCATAAGAGCTCAGCAAAGGGAAGTGGGATCTGGTGACCCTATCCCTGAATCTGTGACAGGAACAGATTTGAGGCAGGAACCTGGTTACCATTCAGGTTGTAGGAAGAAGTGTCCGTTCATCCTTGGGAGGGTTCCCAAGACTTCTGATACATGCCAACTTTTATTAAAAACAGGGAAGAAAACTTGAGCACATTAACGTGGCATCTGACTCTCTGATTAGACCGCATTTTTTCTATATACAACTTGCAACCTATTCAGAGTTTCTGGGAATTTGGACTTCAGGTGTCAGATATCAGACTTACTAATTGTAGAGGTATTATTTTAGTAGTTTAAAATTCCTTTTCAGTCCTCCAAGCAGTGAATTCTTGTTCCACCATTTAGGAAGGTGTCTGATGAAATTCTGCGTCAATGATGGCTATTTATGACAATGATAGTTCCTGTATTTCAAAGGAGAGAAAAGAAAAATTCCCAGGAGTAGAGAAAAGCCTTAATGGGGTTACATACCCTCACTTTGAAAACTGTCAAGGTTTAGGTGACCTCATTTCATACTGACAGAGCAAAATATGTGTAGAGAACAATGGAGGAAAAATTAGGGGCACAGTAGAGCCACTGTGTAAGGGAGAGATTAAAAAGACTAGACTGTTTAGTTTGGAAAGGTGAAAAATGGAAGAAGATTAGTTAGACAAGTAGAATAAAGAAAGCTGTTCAAGGTTCCTAATTATTCTTTCTTCGGAGGACAAAGGGCACACCATGAATATAATAGCACACATAGTAAAAATGTCAGAAAATAATTTTTTAGGACTTTATAAATAGCCCATGAAGTGGAAACCTGAAAAACAGCAAGATGTACATAGGTTATAAAATTTCTTAAAAGTATTATAGTTGATAAAGCACCTGCCACCACAGTAAGCTGGTCCTCTTTTAAATGTGTAGTAGACATTTCTGTATAGTAGAAATTGACTTGGGTTCAGGTAAAACTAACACAAAAAGATCGATGTCAGACTCTCTAAGACTGTGCAATATATGCTTCGTGTAAAAACATGTACAATCTTTAAAGTTTATAGTTAAATGAAAGGTAGGAGTATAGTATCTGATTTGGTATACCTTATAAAGCTATTTAGTCTTCACATGTAAGAACATAAACCGTTTAGCAAATTAATACCACTGAATTATATTGCAGAATATAGGGCATTTTAAAATTTTCTCAATTTCTCTGCAGCATTGACCTTTTTCAGAGACAATTGCCAGAGTCCTCCAAAACTAGAGCGTGTATAGATTTCTTCAAAAGCTCCAGTTGTGACGATGAGTTTGCTAGACTTTCAGTCTAATTTAGATGGAATATCACAATGTAGCTAGTATTTATATTCCTCCATAATTGGAATTAGTAGATCATTAACTCCCTGTTTCTTCTGCCTAATTTATCTTTTGATTCCTGACAATTTTTTTTATTTAATGCAAATTGCACATATAACTGCTATTTTTTTGACCATGTTCTTTCTTTGTTTATACTATTATGTTACCTTTTTCCTCTTTACCCGATGCTACAATTTGAATATTAGTGAGTTCTCTTCCTTGTAATTCAGAAAAGCTTAATCATATTTTAGTTTTCTCACCCTCCTCCTCTAAGGATTATACAATCCTTAAGATTCTCACTATCATGTAGACTCTAAGGGTAACTATATGGGAAAATACTGAGATCAAAATAACCATGGATTCCCATTGCTTAGGGATCTTAAGCATAAGTGGAAATCATCTTAAAATGTTTCCAAACAATAATAAACTGTGAAAAAATATGTAAGTATTTTACATCAAATCCCCCATCTTAAATAAGTCCTTTAAGCTGAGTGATTCTGTAACTATTAAAGTTATTTTTTATATTTCTACCTTGAAACTTTTTGTTTTTTTTTCTTCTTAATTACAGATTTTTGTTCATTCTTCTGGGACCCCTGGGAAAGGGTCAACAGTACCATGAGATTGGCAGATCAATTGCAACCCTAATGACAGATGAGGTATTTATTCAAGTTCATTGGGAACATTTTCCCCATTAGGTACACTTAACTTTTGGAGTTCCTGTATTCATGACTATTTGTTGTGAATCAGATTTCTCTCTATTAAATCCCCCTTCTTCTATGTTTCCAGTATAAAATTTCCTTTGAAAAAATTTGTTTGAAAGGGGTAATAAATTCACACACATGACTATAATGCTTTAAAACCTCATACTCTAGAGAAAATTCTTTATTTAGTGACATTTAGAAGATATTTATTAATATTCCCTTATAGTGTATGTCCTGCTAAAGTGAGTGCCATTGTTAATATCATTACAAATCTTGTAATTATTTTGGGCAAAATAATTTTAGGACTTCAAGAGAAAACAATGACAGTGTATCTGAATAGTATATATGACACCAAAAGCTATGCAACATCTATCAACTCTCTTTACAGTTTTGCCTGAATGTTCTTAACCTGAGAGTCTTTGAACCATTAGAGGAGCTACAGATGGATTTCAAGGGGGCTGTGATCTTTATGATACAGCACACAAATTTTTCTGTGTAAAAAATTTGTATGTACTTTTTTTGGGACTGGAAAAAAGTTTTTAGCAGCTTCTCAAAGAGGTATATGTCTCAAAAATGTATGATCATGAAAATAAGAACATAAGTGCTAACATATAACTGGTTTCTTGTATCCCCAGCACCTTGTGGAAATCTATTTTTTATTGTTTTTGATTGTTAAAGAAGAGCAAGTACAAAAGACCACAGAAGGGTCATACATTCAAAATTTAGTAGTAAATAATAAACAGGCTATACGTTTTCTAGAATCTCATCTAAAGAATTTAAGGTATTTATTGAAATACATGGCTTTGGATTGAAAATTTGAAAAAAAAAAACAAATTAGTATTGTTATATAACTTTTCCTTAGGTTTATGAAATCTGAAATTTTGAACTTTAGGGTTTGATATAAATTCTATTATATCTGTCCAAATTATGTTTTATGGTTTTGTATGGATTTGTTATTGATATTTACATATAGGAAACCAAAAACCAGAAGAAAAACATATTTTTCATCAGTTTGAGAATCAACGAGTGTATTAGTTTTCTATGGCTGCCATAAAAATTATCACAAACTAGGTGATTAAGACAAGAATAATTTATTTTCTCACATTTTGGGGAGCTAGAAGTGTGAACTCAAGGTGTCAGTAGGACCACATTCTCTCGAAGGCTCTAGGGGAGAATGTTTCCTTGTCTCTCCAGCTCCTGGTGGCTCCTGGCATTTCTTGCCTTGTGGTGGCAAAATTTCAGTCTTCACCTCCATCTTCATGTGGCCTTCTCCTCTGTGCCTCTGTGTTTTCTTCTTTTCTGTCTCTTACAAGAACACCTGTCATTGAATTTAGGGCTCACTCTAATTTAGGATGATTTTATCCTGAGATCTTTACCTCCATTATATCTGCAAAGACCCTTATTCCAAATAAGGTCACATTCTGAGGTTCAGGTGGATTTATGTTTTGAGAGGACACTACTCGGTCCACTACAGTGAATGTCATTTTATTGAGGACATCTGAGAGAAGACAGGGGAGTTAAAAAAAGGGCTTCAGGAGGACCACCCACTTGCTCTAGTAGAACTCTCATGAGAAGACACAGTATCTTTGCTTTAAGTGGTTCCATAATGGTTAATATTTTACAATTTTTACAGCATTGCAAAATATATGCCACTGTGATTTGTAGTCCACAATTTAAGTACTGTCACTTTTATGCACATGTATTTTGTGTTATGTTTCCACATCTTAAGACATTAGGACATTACATTAAGTTGTTTCTGGGGCATGGGATAGGTTATACGATAAGAGGGACACGTTGGGTCATGGGAGGTACATATATACTCAACGTATCTCTCTTCCTAATTCTTCCTTTCCCCAATTAGGTGTCAAGACTTTCTCAACAGAAAGATTTCAATTCCAAAGTTTTTTAAAACTAATCCACTGGGTGTGGAACAACAGAGAAACATCCATGTTTTTTAAATTTTAGGGTGAGAGTGATAGCAGAGAAAGAAAGGATTTCCATCTATTTCCCTGATTAAAGAGAACTACCCAATTTGAGAACAAGCATTGGCCATCTAATGAGGGCTCAAACATAAATCCCTTAGATTTGAAAGTTTAGAGCTTAGTTTTAGAGTAATTTGTAACTCTCACCAGTGGGATAGAGAAGCAGAAACTCAGCCAGAAAGTTACTATAGAAGACGAGGGCGATTAACGATAAAGGGCATGTTAATTATAATAGTGCATTAATTGAATATCAAGAAATATTTAAATGTTTTCTCTTTTAAAAGAGAAAGCACTTTTTTTTGTTGTTCAAAACACAGGTAGACAAGTTGTTCTGCTTATCTAATCGCTTTGAAGGCAATGAATAATTACACTCATTAAGAACAAAATTTAGTTTGATTCATAAAGTTTAGTTAAGAAACTGATGAATCGGATTACAGTATCAAACTGTAAATTCTGTGACAGCTGTTACCACTTATTATTCATTTTTGTGCCCTGGTTTTGTCAGGTGCTCAAAAAAACTTTTTGTTGCCTGAGCTCTGTTTGTTTTTCTCCTCTCCATACTGGAAACTTCTTGTACATACATAGTCTGTCTTTTCCTTTTGTGTCTTTAGACTTAGCTAGCCTGGCATCTGGTCTTCAGTCAGGGTTTAATAATTTTTTTTTAATGAGTTAATGACTGAATGTGCTAGTCCTCTTAGCAATACCTGATCTTGAATCAATTGAGTAATCTATTTTGTTCCTTTCCGTTAAGCATTGCTAGAGATAAATCATATGATTTTGCTTATTGGCACTACGACCATTGTATTAACCCCTTTCCATTCTTAAACATTATTAAGCACACCAAAGACTTTTTGTTTATATAATAGCATGCCAATATTTATCATAATAGAACTTAAAACTGAGAATTTTTAAAAATCTGTATTTATGAAATTCATTTAAAAATAATAATAAAACCAATATATATTAACATACTGAAATAATGTTTATGAAATAAAATCAATATATGTTAACATAAATAATGAAATAACGTTTATGAAAACAAAAGGAAAGACAAAAACAAAAAATTTCCTGAGAGTGACATCATTTTTCTTTTTCTTGTTCTTGGCTTTTGAGCCAACAGTTTTCTCTGTTACCCAGATTTTGAGTCAGTACTGACTTTTCTGTTCAATCAGAGAACATGCCCAAATACAGTAGCTATTTAAGAAATACATATCAAATACATGTCCAGGTTTCCTCCATCCTGAAAATGAAATACCTACTGCTTCATATAGCATCTACCATTGAAGAACTGTTGACTGAATCTGAATCTCAACAGCTTTGTAGGAGTAGTGTTCACCTAGTTCTCGATATCTTAGCTTCATTCATCTCAATGTGTTACAGTCTGAATTTTGTTGGCACCACTGTGCTAAAACTGCTTTCAGTAAGGTCCTTATTTACCAGATATACTATTCCATGTTCTGTACTCAGTGTCACTTGATCTCCTATTGGCATTTGACATTGTTGAATACCTGTTCTTTCCTTTTTTTTTTCATGAATAACAACTAAAATTAATTGTGTGCTTTGTTTTGAAACTAAATTTTGAAATAAGAACTATTGCTTAAATACATTCTTTTATGTACAATGAGTTTTTTAGTTTATCTCTCATATACAAGTTTTTAATATACCTAGAATTGCTTTTTGCATGGGAGATGGGTAAAGATCCAATTTCATTTTTATATAATCACTTGGCTTAGTACCATTTATTGGTTAGTCCATCATGTACTCAATGGTGGGTAATAAGTGCTTTTCAAAAAAACCCCCATCCATCTCTGCGCCATCACTATTTTAATTATAGTATTCTTACTATAATGAGTCTTGGTCTCTATTAGGTCGAATTCCTTCTTCACTTTGTTCTTTATTAATTCGTTCAATAAATATTTATTGAATGTGAACTATTTATCAGGCACTTTTGCAGTTGATGGGGATATATGAGTGAACAAAAGAGACAAAAGCCTTTTCTTTCATTGAGCTAATAGTCTAGTGAAAAGATAGACTAATACATAAAAGTAAAATGTATGATATGTGGTGATAAGTGCTTTGGAGGAAACCGTCAAAGCAGGGAAGGAAGATAGGAATGGAATGGAGACAGTTGCAAGTTAAAATCAGGAACCTAAAAGAGAAGGAGCAAGCTATTCAGATATCTGAGGGAATACTTTCCAAACAAAAGAATAAATGAGGGAAAATGCTTTGAGACAGGAGCTTGCCAGGAATATCTGAGGAACAGCAAAGAGGACAACATGGCTGGGCAGGAGAGAGAAAGGGAGAGTGCAGTAGGCAATGAGGTCAAAGAGGCAACAGGCCAGTCTCTGTAGGGACTTGGAGTTGGGAAGCAAATGAAAGACTTTGAGAAAAGAAATGACATGATTTATCTTGTGGAGGAGCAAGGGAAAAAGCAGAGAAACCACTTGAGAGGCATTGCAACAATTTGGGCAAGCAGTGGTGGTGAGAGAGAAATCAATGCAATTCCAATCAAAATTCCAACAGGATTTATCAAGGAGCTTGATAAACTTATTCTAAGAAAAACATAGAAGAATGAAGGTCCAAAAATATTAAAAGCAGGCTTGAATGAAACAAACACATTTATTGAGGTTTCTTCCTAATTCACTGCTGCTTTTTTTCAGCTTCCTTTTCTGTATCCTTCCTTCTTCCCTTCCACTGCATTGAAACTTGCTCCTTAATTATGGTTCCTACATTATCAGTTTCTCCTTCCCTACTCTATCATTTCTATCTCCTTATAAAGATGGTCTAGACTCTCCTATATTTTATTTATTTTTTAAAAAAAAATTTTTTTTTCAACGTTTATTTATTTTTGGGACAGAGAGAGACAGAGCATGAACGGGGGAGGGGCAGAGAGAGAGGGAGACACAGAATCGGAAACAGGCTCCAGGCTCCGAGCCATCAGCCCAGAGCCTGACGCGGGGCTCGAACTCACGGACCGCGAGATCGTGACCTGGCTGAAGTCGGACGCTTAACCGACTGCGCCACCCAGGCGCCCCAGACTCTCCTATATTTTAAAAGAAGAGAAAGAAACAAAGAGAGGAAGAGAGGTGGGCGGGGGGAGGAAAAAAGGAAAGAAGAAAGAAGGAAAGGGTACTTCCTCATTGTGTGGTCTTGAGCAAGTTAACTTCCACTCTCTCTGCCTCAGTTGCCTCATCTTCAAACTGGGAATGACAATAATTGTAAATATTTCATGTTATTATTGTGAAGAATATATATTTATTGCCTACTACATATTGGAGATAAAGTGGTAGAAATGAAAGCTTTGGGCACTGGCCTCATGGAACACCCTGAAGTCATCCTTGACTCCTCTTTCACACTCAAGTCTGATCTATCTGTAAATCTGCCTGCCTCTACTTTCACATTATGTGCAGAATCTTACTACTTCTGACTTTCTGAACTGCTATCACCTGGTTCTTACCCTCATCACCTGGCCCATGCCACCATTATTATTCTACCATCGCAATAGAACTCCTACTGCTCTCTCTGCCCTTGCCTACTTCCTTCTGTTCTCGAGACAACAGCAGGAGCTAGGCTTCTGCTCAAGGCCCTCTAATAGCTTCTTATCTCATTCAGAGTAAAAGTGAAAATTCTCATGAAGATCTAAAAACTCCCAGGATGACTTTCTGCCCTTTTGACCTTTCCTGCTGCTCTCCCTCTAGCTCATTCCTTCCCAGCATTTGGCCACCTAGCTACTTCTCAAATATGACATGCATGCTTTCACCCGAGAATCTTTGCACTGGATATACCCTCTGCCTGGAGAGCTCTTGCTTCCAATACCTTGGTTTTTGCTGAAATGTCTCACTGAGGTCTTCCTTAATCACCCTATTTAAAATTATAGCACCCCCCATACCCTTATTCTCTTTTCCTACCTCATTTTTCTGTATTGGACTTTCCACCCTCCAACAAAATATATACACTCCTACCCTCCCACTAGAATGTAAGCTCCATGAGGGGATGGATTTTTGTTGGTTTTATTCACTGATGTATCCTTAGCATATAAATAGTTTGATAAATATTAAATGAATGTTCAGAGCTCATGTGTTAGCAGGAAAAATAAGCATTAAACAACTAATTATATAATTAACAATACAATAATTATAATTACAGTGAAAGCTATCAAGAAAAAGGACAAGGTGTTAGGAACGTATTAACAGGATGTCTAATCTTGTTTGAGAGGGGATCAGGGAAGGCTTCTCTTAAAAGTCAAATGTATGTTGAAATCAGAATGTTAGGTTAGCTAAACAAAGAGAAGGGAGAAGAGCCCTTTAAAATAAAGCTATTGGGGAAATTGGTGATAGGAAATCAATAGTAAAGAATGTTTTTAATTTAAAATCAAACAAATTGTGGTATCTGAGGAGTTTGAAGACAATAGGAAATCAGCTGCCCTGAATGAATTTGGACATTCATATATCTAAAGCAGGTATAAGATCATGTGATCCTTTGAAGCAATTAAAAATTTTTTTAAATATTTATTTTTTTTAATGTTTATATTTATTTTTGGGACAAAGGGAGACAGAGCATGAGTGGGGGAGGGGCAGAGAGAGAGGGGGAGACACAGAATCCATGGCAGGCCCCAGGTGGGGCTCAAACTTGTCAACCGCGAGATCATGACCTGAGCCGAAGTTGGAGGCTCAGCCCACTGAGCCACCCAGGCACCCCAATGTTTATTTATTTTTGAAGGAGAGAGAGACAGACTGTGAGTGGGGGAAGGGCAGAGAGAGAGGGAGACACAGAATCCAAAGCAGGGTCGAGGCTCCAAGCTGTCAGCACAGAGCCCAATGCGGGGCTTGAACCCACAAACCGTGAGATCATGACCTGAACCGAAGTCGGAGGCCCAACCGATTGAGCCACCCAGGCGCCCCGAAACAATTTTTTTAATTAAGAGGTCAAATCAAGAAAGATTTCAAGAGAGTTGCTACTAACAGGGAAACAGTAAAGTAGTTAAACTCTTGTTGGGATTAAGAACATTTGCAACTCTTAAATGTTTAGATTGGGTCTCATGATCATATAAAACTCTGTAGAAGAGGAGAGATATTCTGAGCTATAAACTCAGTGGCTTATGGTAGGAAATCAGTGTTGTCAATATTTAGAAAAAATATCTTTCCCAAAATACAACTAAACCATTAATATGTTTTTGGTGTCTTCAAATTATCCTAAAACAAGACTATATGTTTATCATACCAATGATCATCTGTGAAAAGTTCTTGGTTGGAAAGTAAAGCAAAAGCCTTTGAAAATAATCATAATCTCTTCTTCAGCAGTTTAGATTGAGTATCAAACCAGAAACTAAAACAAATGTTCTAAAAGTAGAATATTTGAAAACACAATTTCCCTGGAAATTTTAGAAAAGGTGGTCAGTGTAATATGTAACTCAGCATAAGAATAATTTAGTAACCCCAAGCCTCAAATGTCTGCTCCATTTCATATTATATGAAATACAAAAAGTATCAGAAATATTCATATTATGTTTAATATAGACTAAATTATCCCATGTATCTTTATTTTTACTTTCTTCATTTGTTATGTTAAATATACCATTTGTCTCTGTGTTATGCTGCAGGAATAACCACCTACAATCTCAGTGGTTTAAAACAGTGAGCATTTATTTCTATCATGGCCTGTGTCTGTCCTAAGTTAGCAGAGGGGTTCTGCAGATTATCGTCGCTCAGGTACCCAGGCCCATAGAAGCTCCCCCTCACCCTGCTTTTTCTCAGTCACTACGGCAGACAAAAGACAATGCGTTAAATTACATGCAGATTGTCATAACTTCCATTTGAAATTGACATATGTGCACCTAAATGGGGTACACCTAATCCCACTATCAAAGAAGGCAAGGAATGACATCTTACCCTATGTCGAGAAGAACTGTGATGTCTGTCAATAGCATAAATGACTACCACAGCGTGTGTGTGTGCGTGTGTGTAAATGTAACTCATTGTGAATGGAAATATGCTTGTTATACTGTATAGATGATGTGATATATATTCAGAAAACACTCATTTATAACTTTATTATTATTTAAAAATTAAAACAAAATAACCTTTTAAATTAGTTTAATTTATGTTTCAGGGTATAAGTATTGCTAAAATTTTCAATATATTCTGTAAATCTTATCTCTGTTTTTAAGCAAGGGCTTCTTTCTGAAAGTTTGATTTTGCCACACAAAAATAACCTTTGCCAAGCTTGAATCCTTAATTCTAACTGAATGAGATTCCTTTCATACTCCTTTCTCTTTTTCTTACTTTTGTTTCAGAAATTTCAACATTCATTCTAGCACTCTAAGAAAAATCTATATCTGTGTGCGTTCGTAGAATAAATTATAATAGTTTAAAAACTTTTTTTAGTTAGAGCTGCCTAGTTCTTCAAATTGTTATAATCACATGTAAGATAACTGGGAAATGAAAACACTGAACACATTAAGATTTTATGATTACTTTTTATCTTTATTTATTATTTTTATCTTTTCCTCCTGTAGGTATTTCATGATGTTGCTTACAAAGCTAAAGATCGCAATGACTTGGTATCAGGAATCGATGAATTTCTAGATCAGGTTACTGTTCTTCCTCCTGGCGAATGGGATCCAAGCATTCGTATAGAGCCTCCCAAAAATGTTCCTTCCCAGGTATGTATATTTGAAAATACTCTTAAAAATCCCATCATTTTTTTGTCTTTTAAATACATGTACTAAAAAAGTATAACTCATTGAAAAGATTCAAAATGATTTAAATTGTGTGTTATTGTGATTTTTAATAATATATATATATATTTGGTGTTCATTCCCTTTTGTGGCATGGAGCTCCTAAACCCCTTCAAATTTCCTAAGTGGGGAGCAAGATGTTAATGAGGTGACTTTTGGAACTCACCACAGGATGGGCTGCTGGCCACTGGAACCAACTGTGTGATTAGAGGGTTAGAACTTTCAGTCCCACCCTCCCACCTCCAGGAAGTGGAAGGGGCTGGAGATTGCATTCAGTCACCAATTGCCAATGTTTTCATCAATCATGCCTATGTAATGAAGCCTCCATGAAACCCCAAAAGGACAGGGAGCAGAGAGCTTCCAGGTTGGTGAACATGTGGAGACTGGGGAGAGAAGCATGTCTGGAGAGGGCAAGGAAGCTCCTCACCCTTTCTCCATACCTTGCCCTGTGCATCTTTTCTACCTGGCTGTGTTCCTGAAAGTTATATCCTTTCATCATAAGCCAGTGATCTGTATGCAAAATGTTTCCCTGAGTTCTGTGAGCTGCTCTAGCAAATTAATTGAACCCGAGGAGAGGGTCATGGGAATCTTTGATTTATAGCCACTCAGTCAGAAACTCAGGTGGCAACTTGGGGTGAGACGGGGGCAATCTTGCAGGTGTAAACCCTTAATAATGGAATCTGATGCTGTGTCTCATTAAATAGTGTCAGAGTTGAGCTGGATTGTAGGATACCGAGCTAGTATCTGTAGCATTGCTTGTTGGTGTGGAGAACCCCCTGGTTCAATGGGGAACACATTGGAATTGGTACCAGAACCTATATAGCACCTAAGAAGGTAGGGATATGAAGTTACAGAGTCTTAATGCTATCCAACACACTTCACTGAGAAATCTGATATATTGATGATATACTACCAAATCAAATGGTCCCATATGCCTGGAAAGATTTTAAACCCACCTTAAAACATATTATACTGGAGGAAAATTAAAATTTTAATAAACATGTAAAATATGGCCTGAGAAAAGCCCATTGCTATCTTTCCATATTTTGATATATTACTTTGAAATTGGTGAATATTAAGAAAATTCAGCCTGGGCTGCCTGGGTGGCTCAGTCGGTTAACCATCTGACTCTTGATTTCATCTCAGGTCATGATCTCACAGTTCCTTAGATCAAGCCCTGCATTGGGCTCTGTGCTGACAGTGCAGAGACTGCTTGGGATTCTCTCCCTCTCTCTCTGCCTTCATCCCACTCTCTCTCTCTCTCTCTCTCTCAAAATAAATAAACTTTTTTTTTTTTTTTAAAAAGGAAAGAAAATTCAGCCTCCAGCCCAGACACAACACTCCCATCACCATGGCTTCTCTGGGGTCATTGGCATTTTCCTCCTCTCTCCTCCTTTTGTGTATGGAGCTTGGTGAGGGAAACCTGATCAAAGAATTAAAGATCGAATTTTGCTATGTGTCTGGATTTTCTTACTGCCTGTTCTTGCCATTTTATAATGTACCAAGTGGAAACTAGATAAAAATGTATACAGTAAGGCTTTCAATAATTTATATTTTTCCTAGGTGACATCATTTATCACCCTGTTGAAAAATAAAGTCACATGATCTTGTTTTCTGCCTAGTCAATCCACCTTGCCACACTGAACATTTCACAGTTCAGACTTTTTGAAGTCTATTAAGTAGGAATGTTTATTCTGCTGTATTTCTAGAAATTAAACTTTAATGACATTTCAAAGCTCTTTAATGCTTTCAAGTTCTTTTTGATATCTGATGAAGGGTCAGTATCAAAATTATATAAATAACTTATAAAACTCAATACCCCAAAACAAATAATCCAATTAAAAATGGGCAGAAGGCAGGAACAGACATTTCTCCAGAGAAGACATTCGGATGGCCAATAGGCATATGAAAAGATTTTTAATATCACTCACCATCGGGAAAATGCCAGTCAAACTATGATGAGGTATCACCTCATACCTGTCAGAATAGCTAAAATTAAAAACAAGAGACAACAGATGTTGGCAAGGATGTAGAGAAAAATGAACCTCTTGCATTGTTGGTGGGAATGCTAACTGGTGCGGCACTGTGGAAAACAGTATCGAGGTTCCTTGAAAAGTTAAACATAGAGCTATTCTATGATCCAGTAGTCACTCCACTAGCTATTTACCCAGAGAATACAAAAACACTAATTCAAAGTGATACATGCACTTCTATGTTTATAGTAGCATTATTTACAATAGTCAAATTATGGAGGCAGCCCGAGTGTCCATCTATAGATGAATGGATAAAGAAGAGGTGAATATAAAATGGTCTATTACTCAGCCATAGAAAAGAACGAAATCTTGCCATTTACAACAGCATGGAACAAGCTAGAAAGTATAATGCTAAGCAAAATATGTCAGTCAGAGAAAGACAAATACCATATGATTTCACTCATGTGAAATTTAAGAAACAAAACAAATGAGCAAAGAAAAAAAAAAAGAAAGTGAGACAGACAAAGAAACAGACTCTTAACTATAGAGAACAACCTGATGGTTACCAGAGGGGTGGTGGGTGGAAGAATGGCTGAAATAGTTGATGGGGATTAAGGAGGGCCCTTGAGAAGATGGGCACCAGATGATTAAAATAAAAACTTAAAAAAAAGTAAAAAAATAATATTCTTTTTGATAAGTATGTACTCTTTACTTAATGTCAAGATTTATTTAATGTTGTCTTGCATTAAATTGGAACATTTACAAGTTCCAGGTGGATCAGTATTTTTAAAAATAAAGCAATGAAAGCATTACAAAAAAAAAAGGAAATTTAAAGGCATGGCTTAATCATATCAAATAGAAAATTCCCCCTTACTGCTAATCTTATTTCTGATTGGGAAGAATTATTTTTTAACTTTTTTTTTAAATGTTTATTTATCTTAGAGACAGAGTGCAAGTGGGGGAGGGGCAGACACACACACACACACACACACACACACACACACACACACACACACACAATCTGAAGTAGGCTCCAGGCTCTGAGCTGTCAGCAAAGAGCCCAATGTGGGGCTTGAACTCACAAACTGCGAGATCATGACCTGAGCTGAAGTCAGATGCTTAACCGACTGAGCCACCCAGGCACCCCAGAATTTTTAAATTAGAATTCTTATGTTCATGTTACCTTTGTGTGGATGTATGATATAAAAATTGTAAAAATTAAAACTCCAGTGTGCATTTCACTTATTATATAATCCAGAGAGGTAAAAATAAAGACTATTATTTTGCTATTATTTGGGGTCATTTTTAAATTACAGGCCTGACTTTGTTGAGATTTGTAGCCAAATGTTTGTTAAGGCCACTCATATTGCCACGTCTCTTCCTACTGAATATGCCCCCTGCAGCCCCCACAGATGTCATCTACTCAGCCTTCCCTAGGGCTTTTGTCCCTGTGGAGTCCAACTTGCCTGACCTTACTGCTCTAGTTGACTAAGACCCGGACATAGAATGTTCTCCTGGTTAGACAGAGGTGGGAAAAAAATCTCAATCTCCCTATCGATTTAAGAAATACACACTGATGTCTTATTTCTGAAGTCATTTCATAATTATTAAAGATTATTTGATTTCCTTTTCTCAACAATTACAATTTTGTGATTCTGTACCTGCAGCCACATTGTTTCAGTTGATCTACTAAAATAAAAGAAGTTGCTGAAAGTGTAATTTTTGGGGTTATAGATTGACTTATTTTTTGTACTTGTAAACATATTTGCACTTATGATATTAGAAAAAGACAATACAATGCTTCCTGAAGTGGTAAGAAAGAAACTCTTTAATCGATTTTATTTGGGAAAAATTCTGTGAAAATATTAATACATTTGAAAATGAGTGAGACTTCAAAAGTCACTTGTTAATACCATTTAGTTTTTTGAACATTAAGACTGAAGTCAAGCATTTTTGAAAACATCTTGCCTTTGAGAAATGATATTTTTGAGGCAAGTGGAGGACTGGGAGCTCTGTATTTTTAAAATTGTTTTTATGAGACTCTTTAAAATCAGGATTAATTACTGGACTCAGAATATTAAGAGGCAATAGTAGAAAGAACATCGAATTAAGAATCAAGGCACTTGGGTTCTGCTATGCTTCTTTATAACATTAGTATTTTTTAAATGCATGTTGTAATTGAATAATAGATGCTATGAGCTATGTTTTCTTTCACTAAATGGAGCAAGATAAATTAAAAGATATTAAGCACTCTGACAGAGTAAGATAAATTAAAAGATATTAAGCACTCTGACTTCATACTATTTAAATACTGTTTTCCTCCATGGGATAATTTCCGTGGTTTTTATGTTCTTTTGAAATGTATAAGTCACAGAATTTTTAATACCTTTTTCTCTCAGTTAAGAGAAGAAGAACTTGTCCACTTCAAGGGATAACCCTGAAAATTAGAACTTTGTGTGGGTCCTTATAATCACTCCCTTGTGTATACCATAAACTTCTTTGCTTTTCTCTCACGCCAATTACTTGCTTGTTAAAACCACAACCCTGTGTGAATCCAACTCTTAAATCTGTACCTGCATTGATGCAGTTGGATGTAGCTGAAGGAAAACAGCTACACTGACTAATCTCGTTAGTTCATGACCACATACCTCAAGTGGGCCCTTAATGTTGCCGGTTCATCATCCTATCTCCCCTGGTCCAATAAGTTTCTCTAGATGACTATTTCACACCTGTTTTCTCTCCTCACATCTTCAGCACATCCTTCTGACCCTCACTTTCAGATTTGCTTCCTACTTCTCTGAGAAATGTGAAATAACTTAAAGGGAACTTCCATAGACTCCCACCACCACATCTACCTGCCTGCAGGCATCTACTCCCACATACTCTGCTTTCCTATATATTATTATTGAATTATCCAAAGTCAGCATTCTACCTTTGCATTAGATCCCATCTGTTCAAACCTACTCAAAGACATTACACCAATTCTCTTTCTTTCCTATATCATCAATTCTTTTGTTCTCTATTATGTCATTATTGTTAGCATAAAACCTTACTAATTTGCAAATCTTTAAAAAAAAAAACCTCTCAATACTGCTATCACCATCAGCTACTCATCCATTCCTTATTTTCCCCTCTGCAACCAAATGGCACAAGGGTTCTCTGAACTACCTGCCTCCAATTCCTCTTCTCCAATAAGACTTTTGCCCCATCACTTCACTAAAACTACGTACATGAAGGTCACCGAGGATCTCTACACTGTTCAATCCCATAGTTCTTAGTCTGCATTCTATTTGCCTGCCAGTCAACAGCATTTGACAGAGTTGATGACTCCCCTTTCCCTGTACTCTCTTTGCTTGGTTCCCAAGACACCACACTCTTGGTTTTTCTCTTAGCTCACTGGTCACTCCTCAATCTCCTATGCTGGTTTCTTCTTTTTTCCCCTGATTTCTTTATGTTGAGCTGATACAGGGCTCAGTCTTTGCTCATCTTTTCTTTTCTACCTACACTCATTCTCTTGGTAATATCATCCAATGTTATAGCTTTAAATCCTTTCCCAAATTTACTATTTACCTTGAACTTGAGAGTTATTTATCCACATGCCAATGTCTCCCCTTGGATGTCTTATAGATATCTAAAACCTGACATATGCAAAGTTTGAACTGAATTGTAGATTGTTTCATTTCTATATCTGTATTCATCTTTGCATTTATATTAGAAAAGGCAATATAATACTTCCTGAAGTATACAAGAAACTCCGATCTTTTCTCAAAGTCTGTTGCATTTGCACCTGCCTCTATTGGTACGTCTTAACTCCATACTTATAGTTGGTCAAGCCAAAAACACTCATTTTTTAAATTTATTCTTAGATTTCCATTCTTCCAGGAAATACTCTTGGATTTTCCTTTAATATTTATCCAGAATTACACCATTTCTCATTGTTGCTACTGCTGCCATCCTAGTTCAAGCTACCATCATTTTTTTCCCTCCTAGATTATTGAAATAGTTTTGTTTTTAATCACTCTCCTTGTTTCTGTCCTTGGCCCCCAACATCTGTTATCAGCACAGCAGCCAGAGTGACTCCAAGTGAGACCATGCTACTCCTTTCCTCAAAACCCTACAACATTTTCTCAATTCACTGAGAATAAAAGCCAAATACGTACAATGGTCTACTAAATCTATACAATCTGGCTTCCCTTTATTTCTTCAAAGTAAACTCCTATGACTTTCTTCCTTGTGAACTCTTTTCCAAGAATGTCGGCTTCTTTGTTCTTTGTTCTTTAAACCCTACAGCCATATCCCTGCCTTGACACTGTCTCACTTGCTGTTCTTTCTGTCTGGATATCCCCCAGTTATTCTCATGGCTTATTCTCTCAGCTCCCTTAGGCTTTTCTCAAATGACACTTTCTCACTGATCCTACCTGACCGCTTTGTTTATAATTGCCACTCCTTCCTCCCTACCCACCCACCCCATACCTCAGATCCCCCTCTTAACTCTGCTCTTAATTTTCATTTTTACATAGGTTTTAATCTAACACATTGTAGAATTAATTTACTTATGTGTTTATTTGTTTATTGTTTGGGTTCCCCATTAGAAGGTGAGTTCCACAGGCCTGATTTGTCCACTGGTGTCTTAGTGGTGGGGTTGAGTACCTGACACAAATTGGCTTTCAATAAGTATTGGTTGGTTGAATTAGTAGATTGCATAAGTTGAGTAGTCAAATATATATACACTCTTTAATTTGTTTTAAAAAACCAAAATACCTGTGTTTCTGAACAAAAAATATTTCCTATATTTTCCTCAGAATATTCATCGGTACTGTTCATACATCTCTTTTCACACACCTTTCCCCCTTACTATAAGATGAACACTCCTTGATGAAACAGGTACTTTAGAATGGCTAATATATTTCATGGTTTATCATTTGCCTTATCAATGTATAGCTTTTTCCATTGTAAGACAATGAGACATAGCCAGTAAGGGATAATTACCCACGAGACCAAATAATATCACTTGCTTTCTGAGATTTATGGAAGCTAAGAAGTATTTCCCTGGGTGACTGTTGGGTATTTAGGGTACCAAGGCCACCCTTAAAGCCCTTTACTGTATATAATAGCTATTTATGTGTAAAGGCAGTTCCTCCATCAGCTGACAGACATCCTCTCTTTAATCTTTGAATTTTTGTTCATTGTACCTATTCATATACCTGGGAAGTTGTAAAAATATCAAGCAATGAACTTTTCTCTATTTTGTGCATTTCAAAACCTATTTTTCTCATGTTTTAAACCTGTGCCACTTTACCTAAATGTCCCATTGTACATAAGATCATTTGCTAATTCACATGCTTAGACTATTTTGGAATGGCAGTGAAGTAAATATTTTAACTGCACCACTTAAAAAAATTTTATGATACTTTTCAGCCCTTTTGAACACATTGGCATCCTCTAGGATAACCAATAGGGAGGATTTTATGATTTTTAAAAATCTCTGTCACCGACAAAAGTGGGTGGAACAGGCTTGTGATAAGACAGCACTTCCATAAGCCTCAGTTAATTTGTCAATGACTGAATGGAAGTTTCCATTTGTAAGAGTCTGGGATCTCCGTGAGTCAGAAAGAACCATGTTGTAAATCATTCCTTAGGTAGGAAGATATCTGCCAGAATAACAGGGAACCACCCTTAAAAATAGCTAGCGATAATAGTTTAAGTTGATTGAACAGTTGAACTATGCCAGGCATACAACACCACCGTAACTAGTGCCTCCTCATTCCAACCTAGCCAACCCTGGTCTCTCTTCATCCCCTTTCTTTCCTTCATTGTCTTCCTAGCTGAATGTCTACCTGACATTAGAGACTTGCTTGTCTCCACTAATAGAATGCCTTTTCTCACTCACCTGTGCATTTCTAACATCCGTAACAATGAATGGCACACAAGGCACCAATAAAGATTAATCGAAAGACTGAGTAAATGTCCATCACTTCATTTAATTTTCTCAACCACGCTGATAGGTATTGTTACTACCACTCGTGAATGGAGGAGGGAACTGAAGCATTAGGAGATTAGATAACTTTAATTAGAGTTCATGTAGCAAATAAGTAGCAGAGCCTGGGTTCTTGGCCACTCTGCATATTGCCTCAAGGGAAAAAAATTGTTTTTGTTATTTACAACTAGCACCTGAAATTAAAAAACAAAAACAAAAAACTTCCTGCAGGAGAAGAGGAAGATTCCTGCTGTACCAAATGGAACAGCTGCTCATGGGGAAGCAGAGCCCCACGGAGGACACAGTGGACCTGAACTCCAGCGAACTGGAAGGTCAGTGAAAAGTACTTGTATGGGACTTCAAAGACCAAATGATATACTGTCCTTTGTGTCAGGAATTGCTGTTTAGAGATGTAATTTTTTTTATACTTTGAATACCTGTTAATAAATACCTATTTGAGTATGTATGTATTTATTTATTTGAATATCTATTCCGTGAACACCTATGTAATGCCAATAAATTTGATTTCCCAGTATTTACTAATCATTTTTGTTACTATTAAACCAGCACAATGAATACATCATTCCATTTTTTCTTACCTAGTCTTTCATTTTGCTGTGCATAAAATGTGTTCACAGATTCGTAGAATGAATAAGAAAACTGTCAGTGGCCCCTTCTAAAAGGGCCTGTTGAAAGCTTCAAGTTCAGATGGAAATAAAAATAAATACCAAGAACTCAGTCTTATAGAACCTATCTCATTACATGCAAGTAGGATGTATATAATAGTATTTTTTATTTTTATGGTTGTAATTTGAAAGAGCCATATGATTTATTTTTTCTAATCACACATCTTTGAAGAGATGAAAGCTTCAATTTATTTCTCAAAATGGTTCTTTATCATTTTTTGACAGCTTGTCTCTCTCCAAGCAATGTGTGAGCAGAAAATCAGAAAACCTTGGGAGGGTCTGTCTTCAGGGAATATGTGCACACAGCCTCCATTATAATTGAAGGCAAGGGCAAAGGCTTTGCAGGATTGGTACCCCCTTCCTCTCAAGGCCATTTCCTGGAATGCTTGCGCTGTGTCCTTTAAGCTGACTTTCGAGTTTCTGACAACTCTATGCATTTTAATTCTCCTCTGTTCTTTCCCTTTATCTATGTTTTGTCTCTGAGGAAAGGTCCTTTAATGTCTTCCTCAGCCTCCATACATAATTTGAGATGATTCAAACAATTTTTTCCTTCTCCCTTTACTGGAAGCGTGGTTACTCCTTCTGTTTGCTTTCATATTTTCAAATGCTGTCTTTTTATTTTGGGTGGTTTCTCTCTCTCTCTCTCTCTCTCTCTCTCTCTCAGGTGTAACATGCCACATAGCTTAGATTTTTTTCAAAGTTCACTTTTCCTTACTGCTTCCTAAATCCTCCCAGGTCACCAATATCCGGTATCTTCGCTTCTCCAGAGTTCTTCCACAGATTCTGTTGCTGACATGACTTGAAGTATCCATTACTCATCTGCTCTCCGAGAGTTGCTGGTGTACATCTGGGCTGCTCTTGCACTGTTCTCTGCAATGACCTCCCACTTCCGGATTTAGATTTTTGCTGCTAAAAGCACGTTTATTACACAGTAATATCATAGCTATTGACACTATTTTATGCCCTAATAAGTAATTAATTAGAAAACAGTGGTCTACCAGAAAGTGCTATCAAACCTACAAATATTAACTACTAAGTAATAGTTCATAACCACCTCAAAATATTTTGGGGATTAGGTGGGATGTAAATGATAAATGAATAAATAAATACTGGATTAAATCTATTTTGAATTGTGACTTTGATAAGTTAACAGATCACTCAGAAATGATCCTCCCCAAATAAAAAAATATGCACATGTTTATCAAACGCACAAAGGGGACTCTAAGATGATCTTTGTGTGTATGAGTTTCATGGGTTCTCTGTAAGCTTCTTTGAGTTTAAATGTCCTGTTTTTCAATTAGAATTTCATCCTTCTCACTTTCTCCTAGTCCACATCCTTCTGATGGAAGCAATCACCAGGAAAACATAAGGAGTCTCTCACTTATGTAATAGTGAGATAGTTACTAACCGGTTACTATTGTGTCTATGTCAGTCAGGTCAGGGTGATTACAAGTAAGAGTCAAAATTTTCAGTTATTCTGAAGATACACTTTTTTCAAGGCAAACCAGAATTAGCGTCTCAAGAGAACAATAATTTTTGAGGCAGTTCTTAGATTGTCTGTGAACATTTCTATCCAGAAAATAAATAAAAATTTAATATCTTTGCATAATCCAAATATATCTAGCATACTGGCAGTAGATTGGAACATAATGGTTTTTTTTAACCTTTGTGTAGGAACTTAATCATAGTCTTATTCATTTTAATATGACATCTTTATTCCATGGAGCACAAAGAGCTTTCAGTAGCCAAGTGTTAAATCCATATGTTATTATTAAATATTCAAAGAATGAGAATACCTGTTCATTAATATTCTCATTCCTAGTAGATTAAAAATATTTTAGACCTCACATTTTAGGGAGCATTTCACAATTTACTGCTATTCTTCTCCCCTCCACCCCCCAAATCCTCTTTCAAGTGTTTTGGTGTGGTTTTGGGATATATTTAGAATAAGTGAATTTATACTAAGTAAGGCCATTATTGTCTTGTGAATGATAGATGTTGGGATAAGTTTAGACAATAATGGATCAAAATTACATTTGTCTGGGTTGGTTATTATAAGGTCCCCTTCTTAATTTCCTAAAAATGAAAACAACTATGGAATCTATCTGTCTTTACTAGGTATTACTGTCATCCATAAGGCCATTTAGATGCCTGCTTGAAACAATACGTGGTGAGGAATATTTTGGCAGAGAAAGTAGGTAACTGGAGCCATGGTTAAACGCTACTTCTTCTCTCTAGGGTAATGTTCACCATTGCAGAACGCAAAAGCCACCTTATCCTCCCAAACTTCACTTTCTGCTATGCTAAATGAAATGTAAACAATTAGAAAATACTGCCAACGGCTGAGGGTAGTAGGCCTGAGTTTAGGAGGGGTAGATTGATATAGAAATGGCACGGAGATTAGAGTGATCCTTAAATCTCATTATTTGAATTTTGATTGAAGGACAGCTCTGCACCTGGTTTGAGAGAACACGGGGTTTTCTGGTTGCTGGCAGAATATTTAGTTAGGAATTGAAGAGACACAGTGGTACAAAGCCATCTCTGTAGATCATGCTAATACAATGTAGCAGGTTAAAATGGGTCTCATCTCCGCTGATGGAAAACGTATACTGTGACCTGGCAAAAAGGAAATGAGGATTTTGCTTTGTGGGTGTGTGTTTTTATATTTGGATTTCACTCTTGTGTTTCCCTCCTCCCCCCGTCTTAGGATTTTTGGGGGACTTATTTTAGATATCAAAAGAAAAGCTCCATACTTCTGGAGTGACTTCAGAGATGCTTTCAGCCTGCAGTGCTTAGCATCTTTTCTATTTCTCTACTGCGCGTGTATGTCTCCAGTCATCACGTTTGGAGGACTGCTGGGAGAAGCAACGGAAGGTCGTATAGTATGTATTATGCTTTCCCTGGAATTTTAAAACCTAATCAGTTTTAGGAATGATAGTTAGATAAGTCAACATTTAGTTTTGGATTCCTTTATAACTGGTAATCTGGAAGTGGAATGTCTCAGAACTGTTAATTCTTAGTCTTACACAAGGTTCTGCTCTCATCCCTGACCCCGCCCCAACCCCAGTCCTTGTCTGGCTTTGGCTCCCAGTCTCACAAGGAGAGAGAGATGGACATGAGGAATCCATTTCCCACTTACACAGCCCACGCTTCTGTCCTGACACTGACCGCGAATACATGTAAACTTTTAATAGTCCAAAGAAAAGCAAGATGAGGAATGTGGAGAGAACACATCCCCATTCAGTACCATTCATATTCTCCTGACTGCTTGTCCCTTTTCTTATTCCCTTACTCCACATCCTGCCCAAGGTCACTAGGTTTTTCATAGCAAATGAAAAAGAGTATTTAACATGTACTTCTTAGGTATAATGGTTGCCTGTGTAGCTTAGGTAATGGAATTATTTATATCTCTACACAGAGTGCAATCGAATCTCTCTTTGGAGCATCTATGACTGGGATAGCCTATTCCCTCTTTGGTGGACAGCCTCTTACCATATTGGGCAGTACAGGACCAGTTTTGGTGTTTGAAAAGATTTTGTTTAAATTTTGCAAGTAAGTGTTAAATACTTTTGGCCCTTCCTCCCTTTCTCCACCGTGTTTATACTTCTCCCAACATCATGTTTGGGGTCTGCTGGGAGAGGTGGACGTAATGGATTTGATTCAGTTTGCCATTTGTGTCTCTCCATGGAAATAAAGGAAAAGTAGAATATGTGTGCGATTTGCTATGTAAAATTTATAAAAAATGATATTCTATTCTAAGCATGAGAAACCTCTTTTAGTTTTGTCCTCTTAGATGTCCCCTTTTGACAAACGTTTTGAGTTTAGAAAATCATGGGATGTGAAGGTTATTTACTTTCACTTCCTGAATTAGACTTATTCCCATCTATTTAAAATGGTGGCGAGCTGTTAAATGACCTTATTTCCGCTGTTCTTTCCTCCTCCTAGAGAATATGGGCTGTCATACCTGTCTTTAAGAGCTAGTATTGGACTTTGGACGGCAACCCTTTGTATCATACTTGTGGCGACCGACGCAAGCTCCCTCGTCTGCTACATCACCCGGTTCACCGAAGAAGCTTTCGCCTCTCTTATTTGCATCATCTTCATCTATGAGGCCCTAGAGAAGTTGTTTGAACTCAGTGAAGCATATCCAATCAACATGCATAATGATTTGGAACTGCTGACCCAATACTCGTAAGTAACGTTTCCCCTAGTGGCCATAGGGCTTGTCTTTTTACAAATTGCTATTGTTTAAAAAAAATAGGATGAACTTCCATTGCAGATCAAGTGTCTTACATTGATTCAGGATCTAAATCCCTGATCAGACTCTCAGAGGGGAACAGGATTTTAAAAGCCACCTCATCAGCTACTCATCTGATTCTTGAGTTCTCATTATAAAAACAAAAGCAAAACTCACCGAATTGAAATGTGATTTTGCTTTTTAGAATGCACGATATTAATGGTGGAGGTGCTCAGGCTTTGCCAGTTGAAGGTGATGTTAACAGTTCAGGATTAAAGATGGGACTGTACCTATTGTACTTTCCAGTTTTAGTATGCCAGGAGTTTGGAATTTCTCTACGACTGTGTTTGTGGAGTACACAAACATTACATTATTCCTTTCTTTGATTTAATTTTAGGATTTTTTTTGTTGCATTTGTATGTACATTTTTGTACAGCAAATATTTGAACCAATATGTTCTTTACAAGGCCGTTATAACCTCTCCATCAATCACCAATGGTCTTCTTATAAACTGCTTAGATATGGCCCCAAATCCTTTGAAGATTTATTATCTTTATTTACCATTGACATACATCAGAATTGTTGAAATTAGGCCAAAATAGTATCATGTTCTGATTTTGTTAAGAATGATGTAATGATACAGTGTTGAAAATAGAATGATTTTTAGTACTTCAAATTTTTCCTGGTCTTTCTACCTCTGTCTCAGATAAGAAAAATCAGAGTGGAAACATAAAGTAACTTTCCCAATAAAAGCAAATAGCAAGGGTGTTGTGAACAGGATCCAGAAGCAGATGAAGGAGGTGTCAGGGACACTCAGGAAGCAGGCAAATGGGAAGAATAGTTTGATCAGAATGAAGGATAACATGGACACGTGCCCTTTTGTTTCTCTTTAGAGAACAGTGTCACCCAATTTGGATCTCCTTGCTGGGATGTATGTTATCTGTTTGAATCTTCAAACCTATTACATGCCAGGCACTATGCTAGGTACTAGGGATGTATAATTATCTCTGCCTGGATTTTCACACTTATTACATGCCAAGCGCTATGCTATAGACATGAATAATATATTCTGACCTCAGTGAACTTCCAGTTTAATAGGGGATACAGACAAACAGGCAACACAATGAAAGAAGTGCTGTGTTAAGAGATTGGTGCAGAATGCAATGGTACCACATTAGAAGAATACCCAACCCAGATTTGGGGTTCATGGAAGACTTCTTGGAGGAAGTAACATAGAAGACCAGAACATCAGGGTGCCTGGGTGGCTCAGTCAGTTAAGGGTCCAACTCTTGATCTCAGCTCAAGTCTGGATCTCAGAGTCATGAGCTCAAGCCCCGCATTGGGATCCATGCTGGATGTGGAGCCTACTTAGGAAAAAAAAAAAAAAAAAAAAAAAAAAAAAAGAAGACGAAGAAGAAGACCAAAATACCAGTAGGAGTTAGGAAAGTGCTGAGGAAGGGGGCAGGAGAGTAGTCCAGATGGAAGGAATGGTGCAGGTCTGGACGTAAGAAATGCATGGATGCTTTGAAATATTTGTTGAAAGTCAAATAGATAGTGGTAAAACAAGAAGCTGGATCCAGGTTTTATGGTTTTGATGTAATTTTCAAATTACATCAGTACACTGATGAATACAAATAAGCTCTCCTAAAGACAAAATATGGCCCAAGTAAAACAGGTAAAAGCAGAACTATTCCATGTGCAGTGGTGGGGAGGCGCCAGATTGTCCACCCACCCTTCCATTTGTTCCCGAACCTTCAGTGGCAGCATCAAAGTACCTCACACTGAGGAATACCATTGAAAATCTCCAGGTGTAAAAAGGAAAAAGATCAGAGAAGCAAAGACTGTGCCCTGGATAATGGTCATAGCTTGAAGATAGAAGAATGGGAGCATGCAAGCAATAGGTAAAAAGTAAGAAGAATCAGAAAAAGAAACAAAAAACAAACAAACATGGATGGTGTCAGGTTGTAAAAGGCATGGGACAAAGCTGGGTCAAGAAGTCTTTAGAGGACAGTGGTGTAGAGATCAAACAGGACGAGGGAGAGAGATCATTGTTAACGTAAGAAACAGCACTGGGTGGGGAGGGGGGCAGGACTACAAGCTAGTTTGCAAAAAATGAAGATGAGAGTAGGCGGTAAAGAAAGGGAGAAAGTATGCAGAGGCCGATTTGGTCAAAGAAAGTGAAAAACAGTGACTGCTGGAGAGGGCAGCGAGATCCTGAGAATGGTAATTTGTGACAGAAAAGAGCTATGTGTGTTTGAAAATGAAGACAGAGAGGCAGAGGAAAGAGAGAGATTAGAGATGATGGTAAGGGAGTGGGTAAACATGGGATTTCAACCTCCCCAAAAGTGATGAGATCAAGACAAATTGTGGGGTTCAGTAAGACAAATGCTCAGAGGATAATTTGAAAGCAAAAATAGCTTTGTTTGCCCATGATTCCTGCTTTTCATGGCAATCAGGAGGAGAGTTGCATGGGTCCTGACTTTCTTAATGTTTCCATCTCCGCTTTTCTAAAAAAGGATCCCCACGAGTTTAGGTTCAAGTGACGCTTTATCACAGTGTACACATCTAAAACCTAATTATGTGAAGGCTGAGCAGAAATGTGTGCTAATCACTGTTTTCCATTGCCCATGTGCCCTTCTCAGCCGTAATAAGGAAGGCAGCAGAGATGGAAAGATGGGTTCATCCTGCTGGGTGGTGAGGTGAAATGGTTGGAGACTGGTAGTCTCCCTGGGAAATGTGCTGACCAGACATCTTTACTGAACCATCTTCACTTTGATGTTCACGCCATGATTCCCTGGCTCTCAGTACCACTCACAGTGTGTGCATGAATCTGATCAGGTATTGCTATTACCTGGTCTTGGAGAAGCAAAACAAATATTTCGCTATGCGTATGATGAATATATTTATTAGCGTACTTTCGGTCATGTGCATTTAAAAAAGGTAAAGAAAAGTATTGCTAACAATAATGGCTAATGCACAGTGTAATATCATGCTTGTGCCCAAAGCATTTTCTGTTTCGTGAGCTCCATATGATACTTGTGGTTTTTCTTGTTCTTGCCACCATGACCTTTTCACACTAATCAGTCTGTAAGTGTCATCATGCTCATGGTCACCTAAAATTTTCTCCTGATGTTTGCCGGCCTCATGCTTTCACAGTTTTTATAAGAAAAATTTTTCAAAAAATGTCATAGCTAGGATGCAGCATATCTGAGATTGCAATCTTTGCAAAATTAATATGCCCATGCTTTCACATAGTTGGTTTAGGTGTAAGATATTGAAAAAGGCATCATATTTAGGATGTGCGTTTCAGATATTCTTTATACTTGGGCCTCCTGTGTTCAGATTTTCCTAAACCCATAATTTTACCAGTGAAATAACAAAATGTCTTTGATTTTTTAAAGACTTTCCTAGTTCCTTTGGCATCCTAACCTTATAATGTGGTAATATGTAGACCTTATATTTGAAGCTATAAGTTTCTTTTCATTGTGCCAAGAGCAAGTGTCAAGATAATCAATTTAGTTTCAAGAATATATACATTATACCAGATGATCAAGCTGAATATGTCAAGTTAGCAATAAGTAATGAGTTTGTGGGAATAACTTTTTCTAGGTTGCTTTGATTTTAAGAAACAGCAAAAATAGAATAAAGCATTCTGCTATGTAACATGAAATATTCCTTCAATATATAGTAATAATCTAAAGCTTTCAAAGATGGCTAGCTAAAGAAAGATTGGGGTGATATGAATTCTTTGCAGTTGGTTGGGTCAAAGCAGAGACCAGGGTCTGTTACTCTAGTTTTCAATATACTAGCAGACTAGAGTTAAATAATATCAACAATTACCAAGCCATTAGGAGGACTGATTTTACTATTTGGTTCTTGAAAGGTTTTTTTTTTTGTTTGTTTGGTTTTGTTTTTTGTTTTTTTCCTATCTTTGTTGTTTTTATCCAACTCTCAGCCCTCCACATAACCCAGGGCTGTTCTGGATAAATGTTATTTATTGACCGACCTTATACTCATAGAAGGGTATTATTTTTCTCATGTCCTCAACTAGAGTTGAGCCTCTTTTAAGATAGAAAACATGTAATAATTGTATCCCTCCAGTCTCAGCATAATACTGTAACTATAGTAAGTGATACTTAATACATATTGATTAACTGAATGTGTTGTAAAATAATTGACGTCACCTGGCCAAGCTTGTTTGGCAAGTAAAGGCAAGTGTACTCTTTTACAGTATCTTTAACCTGACTCTTAAAAATTTCAACAGGAAGTTTTGAATAAACTTGAGATGTTAAGAGAGTCTTAATGTACTTACATATGTACAAATCTGGATCCATAAAACTAGTTCTGACTGAAGAGTTAGACAAGGTGCCAATATGGTGTAGAAGTCATCTGGAAGAAATGAGAGGCAGGATTGCAAACTATAGCAGAGATTCAAAAGTTGCTCTGAGATTCAGGGGAAAAGAAGATGAAAGGGTAGTTCTCATAGCTCAATGACCTTATAGTACTCACTCATCAAAAAATAAAGAATAAAACTCAGATTTAGAGAAACCCCTGTGTTTCCACTTTTTAAATCAGATTTTTACTACATATACACTTGAAAAATTTATCCAGATTTCTTGCAAAATAAATTTGTAATTATATTCTATGTATTTATTTGTGTAATGTATGTGTAGCTCCACCAGGTTAATCTCTGTAATGCTACGTCCATGACTATTAGACACCCCTTTGAGCCCATTGTCCTAGCAAAGTGCTTGGCACGTGCATAAAATGAGCATGTTCATATCTTTACATTTCTGGAAATGCCCCTTACAACTGACATTAAGCAAGTAGATTATCTGACATTTTAGAATCTAATAAATATAATAGTAGGCACTCAATAAATGATTATTCAATAAATACACTTCTGGCAACCCATCTCATTCTTGATTTTTAATCCAAACCCTTGATATCTTTG